CCCTTGTTTCGCAAGTCATGTAGAGCCCTGGTCCTTGATGGAGGAATCTGGGCGCGGAGCTGGATAGCTGGCCGAGGCCCCCGGTCTGCACACTAAGTCACCAGCCGCATGTATGTCATCTACCGAACGATACCTAAGGACCACAGCGGAGGGTAAGGGCAATCCAACGTCAGTGATATCGATCGGTCTCCTTGGACTTGCTCACCGCAAGCTGCGAAGACCGCAATGTTGCTGCTGAGAAAGGGCAAGGTGCGCTATCGCACCCGAGTCAAGAATATACAAACTACAATGCCAGATGTTGGCGGCGGTGAGCAGTTCTGTTGGTTCGTTGTGCTACGTAAAGAATGGCTTCTAGACGGTGTGCCCTGGTACATTGATAGTTGGCGACGGTGCTGGTGTCTGCTATGTTAGACTACCTTAGGATGAAAGGGCAGCCCGAATCATCCTCAGGGCAGCCCTCCACACCCAATTGCCAGCTGACCGACACGTATTCAAGCACTTTTTTGACTATTTTTCGGGCATATTGGGTGCCAGCAATCTACTTTGGGCACGAGACTAAGTCCTAACCTGGGTAGCCAAAGTTAGCGTGTGAGTTTTGGACTGTGACCTCCCGAATCTAAGGTTAGTTGGCCAGATTGCGTGAAGCATAGACGGGGACGGATATACAGCGCTGAAAAGCCCCAAGTTAGTCAAACTTTGTACCTGACCTGGGCAGGTGGTATCGGCAGACCGCACTTGGAAGAAAAAAGACATTAGGGCGCTGACGGGAGTTGTTCGTTGCGCGTCGGGGACTAAGGTGAGGTAGTGTAAATGCCTCCCCACGTTGGAACTTGGGGTGTCCATTGCACGGACGGCCCTTTGCCAGTCTCGTACCGAACCTCGTCCCAAGGCTAGACTAAGGTTGCAAAGAAATTCCCCTAGCGCAATTGCCTTGCCAGGCCGTCGTCAGCAATGGAACGCCCGGAAGAAGCAAAGAACTGCGGCCCAAGGGTTGCGAAATGCGAAATGAGAAAAGGAGCATCCAGAGCTCTATGCGTACGGAGTATTGTCTAGCACAGTGGCTACCTCGGTGCCCTGCATAGAAGCAAGAAACATATCATATCCCAGGTACGTACCGATGATGTATATGGGTACCTCGGAGACTAGAGAAAACAGTAAGGGCGAGTAAGTTAAGGTTACAAGCCGGCCAACTCTCCCAGGTACCCTTCGCAGGTTTGGCCGTACGGCAGGCAGCGAATCGAGAGTAGCTACCTGGCCTTGCCTTATCCCGTCGTGTTAGTTTGAATAGGGAAAGAAGGACGAATGAGAAAAGGAACAACTCGATAGAAGATCGGAAAGAGGGAAGGAGAGCGAGAGATCCGCACCTCAGGCCTAAGGTAGATTGCCTTGTGTACTTTGTCCCGACGTTCGCAACTTACTTTTGGTACGGTACCTCAATCTCAGTCTCAATGCTTTCCGTCATCCAAGGGCTACTAACCTTACGTCTCCCCATTGCGAACGCACGCACAGCAGTCTACATGTTGGACGCCGTTCCGATTTGCTCCACGTTTCTTCCCAAGAATACACAATCAATCTCTGTACAACAGCGCCATCTCTTCTCGTACGCAACCTAATGTCCCCGAACGGAGTCAATGTTTACTTCTTTGCCTTCTCTGCTGGCCATTAGTTGCTCCTTTATGCACCGCCCCGTCGTCATGTCAGGCACCGATGCCGTGGACACTGGTCCAGCTACAACACCGGACTCCCGAGACCCCTGGAAGGCAGCAGACAAGCTATGAACAGCCCAACCAAGCCATGTGTGGCTTGACTTGACGCTAACGACGACGTCGTGGTCGCCTCATTGCCGTGGAGGGTGGACAACACCGATGGCGCTGGAGCGGCAAGACAAAAAAAACAAAAGAACTACCACCACTACTATGACTATTACTACAACCACCACGGCACACAATGATGGTCAAGGATACGACTGCGACGACCAAAAGAGGGCTGCTCGAAAGCCGCTAGCCAGCAAAGCAGCGAGCAAGCATGCCCCAAGTTGCATGGCGATCATGGTTCATGGCAACTGATGCAGCCAGGCCACAAGCTCATACTTGGCCTGTCCGCCTGCAGTGAAAACATTACCGCCCTGGTCCTGGAAGGCTTTGCTGGACGGACACTGCACGCTGGGCTGCGCTGCATATCTGACCGCCAGTTCATCATCAGACCAAGGCAAGGGCCAAGCCGAGCACCACCAGCATCAGCACCAGCAACAGAACCAGCGAGGCAAGGCAAGGCAAGGCAAAGCACCGCTTGACCAGACGGAAAGGGAGGCATTCCCAACACTAGACAAGACAGACTTTGTAAAGGCTGTTCCTGGCTCGCCCTCATGGATATGGCCATGGGACATTGGTAGCCGGGCATGAAGGGCATTGATCAAATGTTTCTCAGCACAACCCAGCCCCAGCCCATCTGCGGATAGTCAACCGCCCTCGACGACTCGTTCGGCAGTGGCGCATTGTCACGGCCGCCGTTGGCTGTCCGGCCTCGTCGAGACAAGCCTCATCTTACGTCCATTGTGTCGACCGCACAGACATCAGGCTTGCTGCACCTCTTCTTCGCTCTTGTTCTCCCGCTGCCGTTGCCGTTGCCGCTGCCAGATGCAGAGCACAGTACTGCGCTATACTGCCGGCTCTTTATTTTCAGATTGCTCAGCTCGTCAAACCGATCCGCGCCATCGACTTGTCAATTGCACTAGCACTAGCCGCGGAAGGGAGCCGCCCAAGACAGTACAAGACACGCATGCAGCCTGCGTTTGCTTGCTCTCACAGACCCCCGTTGAACCCGTTAGGATCGGCGAACAGCATAAGCACAAGTTCAGCAACTCGGAGATGCGCACAGGCAAAGGTGGAGGCTGTCCCCCCTCCCCAAATCAGAGGAGACGGGACCAGGGTAAGCCACAGTTGAGAGCAGTTCCTTCAACTGTGCCCGGCCAAGCATCGGAACCCTCGTTGTCCCTCTTCGGCCGACCCATCCCTCCCATCTATCTGATGGGTTCCTCCGCCGGTGTTCCAGTCTCCGATCCTCCAGACGCCTCTCAGTTTCTCGCCTGCTCGTTGCTCAACTATGCGCGCCGTCATAGTTTCGCGTTTGACTTCTACGCGTGCCGGAGTCGGGGGCCTAACCAACCATGGGGTCAACTCTACGAGGCTAACCGCTGCCTCCGAAATGTCTGTCATAAGTAGCGGTTTGCGAGGCCTTCCCCCATTAACAACATCTCTCTTCGCCAGCTGTCTGCCTAGGAGCGTCAGCCGGCACGAAGAGGATCCCATGAAGCGGGAGCCCATCTATTACAACCCACCAGCATGCGCATGTGCGAAGTCCACTCGACTCTTCATTGCATCAGCAACCGCAGGTTTCAAACATGGGGTCCACAGCACCCGTATGCGGTTTCGTGACAAACTGCTGCCCACCACATTCCGCCCTCTCCACGCTTGTCTTGCCCTAAACACACGCTCACTCTGTCGGGGACCCTAGGATTATGGGCCATGCACACTTGACGCCCTCTCGAATTTCCCGCCCTCTTCAACCAGATTCCCACCAGCCTCCAAGTCGAACCGATGCTCTACGAGTCTGGGAGGGAGCTGTGACCAGGTGTGGTCATCATACACGGACACGAACCAACCCTTATCCAAGCAATCCTTATGACCAGCGTTTCTTGGATCCCGCTCTTCGGAGAAGCTGTCATCCAGCTTGCTCCATTGACTCTGGCTTTGACACCGCATTAAACGCGCTGATCCAGACGTACCACGGGTTGCCCATGACCTGCTCTACCCAAGTACCGGAGAAGCATCATGCATGAATTCGTGGCCATGCCATTTTAGCACCTAGCTTGGTAGCGGACATTCGACCCAGTACCTGGTATTCCATTGTATTCTTTCTCTCTCTGTGTCTCTTTTTTTTTTTCCCCTCCTCCCATCTTTTGCTCTGGTTATTACCACAACGACCCCTCATGACTGGAGCTGCAATCTAGGGTGTCAACATACGGGAGAACACCAGCCCCAGGCCAGACACTAGACAGGGTATGTTGCAGAGGGGTGTGTCTTGAAAAGAAAGCATGGCAGCCACCTGGTGTCTGTGAGCGCACGGCGGGAAGGGGGGCGTGTGTCTTTCAAACATGTGCCCACCCATGTCGGTTCCCAAACTATGCCTGGGTGAAAGTAGCCCTTCATGAGCCTTATTCGACAACCTCTACCGCATCGCATTCTTCAATGAGGGCAGGGCAATAGGCGGACTGGCCCAGGCAAGGGACGGACGGCACCAACAAGATCCCATCATCTGCCACTGGTCATTCCCTACCTATATGCGAGCTTGACATATAACTTCTGCCCTATTACTACGTTCACTGCTCGCTGCCGGTCGCTGCTGCTGCTCGCGCTGGTGTTGTTCTGCAAAAGCTAACCAGCCTATGCCCTTGCCAAACACACACATCCTCACACACCCTCCTCACACGCGCACACACACACACACTTCCCATCCGTACCCAAACCTCGTCTTTCTCGTCGTCTCTTCCTTCTCCACAGCCGCGGTGGCTTTCTCACACACACACACACACACACTCTCTCTCTCTCTCTCTCTCTGCCTCTCTTTCTCTCCTTGTTCGCTACTGCTGCTGCTAGGCTCGTCACTGTCTTCCTGGGTCTCAACTTGTCTCCTCCTACGCCCGTCCTTATACACACCCCTCCCTTGCTCTCACTCACTCTCTTCTCGTTTCTTCTTCGATGACTTTCCTCTCGTCAGTTTAAGAGTCTTTTGGGCCTGTCACTTTGTTAATCAGACCCCGGCTTCCGTCCCCCACTTCGTCCTCCACCTCTTCAACCCATCACCGTCCCTCAAACTACCACTTTCTCGGTCCATTTTAATTCTTTTCTCTTCCATTCACAAACTGCATCACCGCAAGTTCCCGACGTAGACCGGCTTGTACCTTGTTTTCTTGGCCTCTACCGACTTTCCGTAGGAGAACGATGACTCTGGTAAAGCTTCGCTTTCTAATGAAGACTTCTAGCAGCCTAGTTTGACCAACGTATACTTACGCCGCCGCCCTCTTTTTGCTGTCCGCCCGCCCGCCCGCCTGCCTGCGTCGACACCGAGCGAGCTCAATTTCCGATCATTGGTTGCCGGCTTCTCTAACTGGCCCAATCATGTTGATGACTTCCTCAAAACTGCCAGCTACGCCGCCATCTTGATCTAAAACCAGGTCCCTTTTCCCTTTTCAGATCTTTCTCCCCCCCTTTTGCCTATTCACCAGGATTAAACGGAACGCCTTTTCCTCTTACCAACCTCACGATCGACATCATCCATTGTTAAGCCACGGCAGAATCAGAGAACTTTGTTGCCCTCACCACTTCCAGCAACGGGGCCAGCGTCACCGATCTCCACCGCTCTCAACCCGTGATCCTACTCTAACCCACCTCTGCCGTAATTCCCAACGAGTAGACACACTGCCTTGAACTTTACATTACCCTCGAAGCGAAGAGAACCTTGAACGAGCACCGAACAACCGTCCCCATTTCGAATCTGGTCGGGAAATTTCACCGACCTTGAACTTTTCAAGTGTTCCAGAAACTGCCCTTCTTGGGTGGTGTCGAGCAAACCGAAAAGCTGGCGCGCGTCTATCGCGCCCATGACACAAGACCGTATCCAACCTACCTAGGCGGCCAAACCGTCACCGTGGATATCGCGTCTCTCCTGAAGGCTCCCGACTCAGATGAGTCCTCCACCGCTCCGCCTCAGCATACCCGATCATCGTCAGACCCGTCCGCAACCGCAACCACGGCGGCCACAGCGCCTGTCAGCGGGCTACCTCCGTATGGCCCGCCTCCCGTAGCACCGGGCCTGGCTGTGAGCGGCAAGCGTGCCATGCCACCGCACGTAGCGGAGTCTCCGGCCAAGAAGCAGAGCAAGTGGTCGCCGGAGGAAGATGCTTTGATCATCGAACTTCGGGGGAGCGGAATGAAGTGGGAGGACATCTCGAAACGTCTGCCGGGAAGAAGCGCCATCAGTTGTCGACTTCACTACCAGAACTACCTCGAGAGGCGGAGCGAGTGGGACGAGGAGCGCAAGAACAAGCTTGCACGGTTGTACGAGAGGTATGATTTGATCACAGGAGCATCGACATCACCCTCGATTCGCTTTGTCCATCTTGAGGAGAAGAAAACTGACGTGTTAAATCAGGTTCAAGCCGGAGATGTGGGCAAAGGTTGCGGAGGAGATGGCCGTTCCTTGGCGAGCCGCAGAGGCCATGCACTGGCAGCTTGGCGAAGCGGACATGGCTCGACGGGCCGGTGTGGTGCCCTTTTCTTTGACCGCGGTCAACGTCGACCAGCCTGGCGGTGGCCACCGGCACTCTCCTTCTCGGGGGCACATGCACACCCAGTCCCAGCCTAGCCTACCTCGGGACATTGGCGGGCCTTCCCCCCGATACAGCCGACCACCGCCGCCTGGTATATCCCCGATTCCCGGTGGACGAGTCATCGCCGCCCGACGGGAGAGCGTTCCTGGCAGGCCGCTGATGGGACCGGATCCGAATGAGATGGCGGGTATGGGGCCAGGCGGCCCCGGTTTAGCACCGATTCAGGGACTTCCGCCAGGCCGAGGCGGAGGCATGCTTCCGGGAGTTGCCGAACTGACTACCGGTGTCAGCCCATATAGCACTCCAGCATACGCGATGGGCGGTATACCTACGGCAAGCCCCGTGCCCAGCGCGAGAGCTAGCCCGGGACCGCTGCTTCCAGCCCTCCACTACCCACCGCCTCACGAACAAGCCGGTGCGAAGCGACGAGCCAGCCCGGGCACAGAGATGATGGGCTCAAGGGAAACGAGCCGACGACGGCACATGGACCCCCGTCAGGAGGAGATGGATCGGCGACGTGTGGCATGATTGCGAGGGCAGGGTGAAAGCGGTGATGGCGCGGCGAACTTTGGAGTTGGGAACAAAATTCTTTCTGAGGGGGGGACGACACGAATCGGCTCCCCCCTCTTGATTTTTCATGAGAGCATGGGAAACCTCCGAGGATTGTTTTTTTCGTCCAACGTGTGCGGAGGGCACGACACACGGCACGGGAACAGCATGTTGCATCGGGATTGGAGCAAGATTTTGTCTCATTTTTCTAACTTCTCAGACACATAACATCGTTTATCACTCGAGGTTGACGCTATCTCTTTTGAAAAAGCTTCCCTCGTGTCGGGCAACGGATCTCCTCACGGCCACGTCGTCTTCTTCGTGTCATTTAACTTTTAACCTTTTTTTTTCCTTCTTTCTTTTCTCTCCCTCATACTCCTCTCCAGACTTGGCCTTTGGTGGTCATTTTTCAGCCGGCGGTGTTGCGAAGAAAGGGAAAACAAAAACACAATTTTTTTTTTCTTTTGCCGTTGGGTTTTTACGGTACCCGGCAGGTTAGGGGAGGGAGGGACGGACAGGGGCATCGGATCGGATTCATCATTTCATGGCCACAAAAAAATTTCACGAGGATGTTGTTGTTGTCGTCGGGTATGCAAAGGTGTTTTCCAAGAGAGGTGGGACGGGAAGAGTGAAGAGTATGTTATGAGCGTGTGCTGGTTTCTTCTGTATGTATTGTTCCGGAAAGTTGTGCGAGAGAGAAGGGAGGGAGAGAAAGAGGAAGAAAGAGAGACCGAACGTAGTGGAAGCGGCGGGGAGTAAACGAAACACGTCACTTGACGAAGAGATGGATTATGCTCATGATAGAATTTCAAGGTCTCTAGATCACTTTCTTGGCTTGCCTCTGTATCGTTGTCGCTGAGAGACATGTGACCTCTGTCCATCTTTCATCTCCTTGCTTCCCTTCAGCGTCTGTCTAGGTCCCATCTCACGAGTCCCGGCAAAAGATGGCCCACCAGTTATCCCTCTCGTAACCGCTCTCGAGCACCCTGCCCCCGACCTCCACGACGTCCTCCTCAAGCTCGCCCTCGCGGTAGAGGTGGTAATACCTCTGGAACGTCTCGTCCTTGGCGGGTTCGGCGGCGGCTCTCTCCTTCTCCTGCTCCTTCTCTTGCCCCCTACCCTCGGGCTTCTCCTTCTTCCCCTTTGTCACCCACGACACGAGCTGATCCTGCGCGGCGCCGGCGTCCCACCCGCGCCGGCTGTTGCCTTGCTCCAGGGCCCAGACCATGACGAGGGCTTTGCCCCCTTGTTCCGTGGCAGTGCCGGGGCGCACGGCGGAGAGGAGGGCGGCTACGGCGGCGCGGCGGCGTTCACGGGTGGACATGTGGTGGATCACGGCGATGGAGATTGCGAAGTCGAAGGCGGAGGTGCGGTAGGGGAGGGCTAGGGAGTCCGCTACGAGGACCTGGTTCTTTGGTGGTGGTGGTGGTGGTGGTGCCGGTGTCGCAGGTGCGTCGGAGTCAGCTGTGACCTTCTTGTTGCCGCCCTTGTTCTTCTTCTTGGGCCCGGCGGCGGCATCAAAGTGCGGCGGCTGGTACCTCCTCGCCAGCGAGACGAGGTTCGCGCTCCGGTCCGAGGCGACGATGAAGAGGTCCGGGTTGACGCCGATGTACTTGCCGTTGCCGCAGCCCGCGTCGAGGCCGACGGAGCCGGGCGGGAGGGAGAGCAGGAAGGAGGCGACGAGGGGCCAGGGCTTGTAGCGCGTCGAGGAGAAGTGCGGGGCGATGGCCTCGTAGACCGTGTGGACGTGGCGGGATTCGTAGGCGGCGGCGGTGTCGTTGTCTTCGTCTTCTGCTGGGGGCGGGGTGGTTGGTGCCGCGTCCTTTGAGGTCTCTTGTGGTGCGCCGGTGGTGGTGACGGTGTTGCTGGATGTTGGGGCGGAGGGAGGGACCGGTGACCGGGGATCGGCGGGCACGGCCGGGTGGCCGGGGCCGGGTTGGGGGCCGGATGAGGCGGTCATGGCTGGTGGTGCCGGAAGGGGTGTGTGTGTGAGAGAGAATGTGTGCGTGTATACGTGTGGCGCGTTGGCTTCCAGTCTTCACACCATAGGACAGCTTATTTCCTTTCCTGGAGCTTCGGGACCCTCGTAATCTAATCAAGCCCTGCACGAACGGCTCTTCTCACCCCCTTGCCTTTGGTCCTGCTATATCCGTACGAAGAAAATAGAGGAAGGAGTTTCGGTCGATCAGGGGGTGTTGTTGCGAGTGCGAGGCGGGGGGAAAGAGAGTGTGTGTGCAAGGGGTGTTGGGAGAAGACTCCCTTCGGAAGAGGGGAGGGGGGGAGAAAAGTCGGTAGCCAGGGCCCTGGTCTACGGTCCCGTTAAGGTTTTGGGATGTCCCGAGTTAAAGATAGCGCCCGCTAAAGCGCGTTCGCGCGCCAAGACACAGCGCAGCCTTCTTTTCCTTTCTGTGTGTTCTGGCCGGATATTGTCTGTGTGTTCCCGTTGCGCTTGCGGCTTTTTGTGATGGGCGGCGCGCGCGTGTGTGGTGGAATCAGTCACACCAGCCACTGCAGGAAAGGGAACTGGGGATTGGAAGGATGGATTGTCGGATGAGGCTCGTGCCCTGCAGATACTGGGAGGCGTCTGATGGTATCTGTAGGTAACGCGGGTGTAAAGGGGTGTGTGGCTACAACAGAACAAAGGTAAACGAAAAAGGGACGTTGGGAATTGGTGAGCCACCGACGGGAAGATGACGATTTGTGACAATGAGCGGGGCGGGAGGAAATGCTGTCTGAGCGTTTGCATTTTACGTGTGGCGTCCGTCGGTGTGCGCTCCACCGCTTTTCTCAACTCGGTGAGTCGGTGTGCAGAAGCTCTTTTAGTTTTTTGCTTCTTTTCGTCACTTTCGTGGGCGTGTGGGGACCAAAGTTAGGGGGAATATCTTTCGGGAAAGAGTGAGGCGGGGGCCCGCTCCGGCTCGGCGCACACCGAGTCCGGTAGCTCCGGTCTGGTGGAACACAGAACCGGGGCCGTTGCTGGCCGGTCATCTCTTCCACATTCAAATAGAGATGGCTGAGCCGACAAGGATTCCAGGAGGATTAAGGACTGCCTGATCTTGGTCCTTACCGAATGCAGGCACCGTAACCTCAATTGCCCCGATGACCACTCCTGCGGCCGCGGCCGCCGACTGGGCCGCAGAAACCGGATGGTGGGTGGGCCACCGTCATTGTGGACGGATCGTGTTTAGGCTGCAGGCTGCAATGGCATGAACACCCATGGGACTGACCGTGGTTGACCGGCATAGATAAGACATAGTTATGCTGCTACTTGGAGTACACCATGCAGCTTTCCGTCGAGGAAATTTTACAACAAGGACAAAAAATCGAGATAAAGCTATTGTGCGAGACTCGAGTATGCAGTGAAATGTTAATGTCTTCATGTTCCTTTCTCAGGAAAATTACGGCCATGGGTACCTGCAGGCTGCGGCGCGGCACGGAATTAAGCGCTGAACTCGAACCCCGGGATTGCGAATGGGAGGGGGGCCTTGTCCCGGATCGGTCTACTCCGGGTGAGTACTCCGTACAAGCCGCTGCTCACGAACTACTTTCGAAACGAACGGGAAAGTCCCTGAAACCAAATTTCTGTCGTTCGTTGATGATTTATGTTACATCCATAACGTGCGAACCGATCACTTTCGATCCATGGTGTTTGCTGCCCGTAATAGCATTACAAAGTAAGGAACAGGAGGGTGAGGTAGAGTAGGGGAGTGTATGGATACAGAGGTGCTAAACTCCTCGGCAGAGGGGAGCAAACAAATTTGCCAGGGAGGTATCCGTATGAAAATGGCGAGACAGTTACATTCCAGACCGGGGCTTCAAACGCATTTGGAATTTTCCAAAGACTCGGTACGAACGGATGGGGACTCATCCTCGAGTGATTTCTCGCGTGATTGTCGTCAGGGATTCTGAGCCTTCCTCTTCGGCTCGGATTGCCTGCGAAAACCGAGTTCGACAGGAATTGCTATTTCTAGGCTTCCAACAAGGCATTATGTTCCCCATTCTGGGAGGAGCTCCCAAATGCACTTGAGAAAGGCCAGAAGAACAAAACCGCCAATGTTGGCTGGATAGTATGCGCCCCACGGGTCTCTGCTTGCTTTGGTTACACTGTATATAATGCCTTACGTGCGAACCTCTTCCCGTGCGGCGTTGGAGGCTTCTTAGCCCATCGGCCCCTTTTCACAAGGTCAGTGTTGGTGATGTCAGACTCAGGTGGTACCGCTCGGGGCCCCTGTGTCCCTTGAGGATTTTAATCTCCGATCCGGCAGGGAAAGACACATTCAAGGGTCAAGAGCAAAAGAGAGGGGGGCGTTGCTGTAGCACATACCTAGTTCTCCTGCCTTTCTGTTAGCGACCGTTTGAGCAAGTTTGCACTACTTCGTTGCATCTCTTTTTATCATTTTACTTTGAGCGTATCTCAATGTGTGGCTGGTGCCTTGCGGCGATTATTTCCAGCCTCTAGAATTTCTCTCGTGGCCACGTGTGGGAATCGGAGATTGTGTGTGACAAGAGGGATGATGATCACACTTGTGTCTGATGGACACGTCCATCCAAGGTGGAGTCCCTGATGATGATGTTTGCCCGCTAGAGACATGTTCGTCGCCCGCGTGGCATTGACTTTTTGGTGCCTGCTTCACGATTGAACAGGGAGGTAAAGAAGGAATGTGTGTGGTGGGGTGGAAAGTAGAGCCGTTGCTGTCACTAGTTTTGCGCCACACGTCTGTAGCTTCAAGAGAAATCGAGAGACACTGACGTACGACGATCGCGGGCCAGCAAAAGGCTTATTTTTATTAGACTTCAACTACGGCGCCCCGGGCCGGGTTGGCGGTCCCGTTGTCCCGGGCCTCCCGAAAGCGGGGCCACGCATTCAATTCAAGATTTCTTTATTAAGGTATCTTTCCGTACAACCGGACTTATACAACACCGTATTCTCAAGCAACGCACCTTCATCTCAAGCATTACCCAGGTTCAATGGGCTCTGGGCATCAAACTTGTGGGTGGTGATGAGCTCAGGGTACTGGATACCACCTTGCTTGATGACGCTGTCCATCGTCTCCATGATAACGAGAGACTCCGACAATGGCAATGTTGCGCTCTCCGTCTTTCCATCGCGCAGGCATCGCGCGCACTCATCAGCCTCCCAGAACATGCCATGGCCCCAGTCGCGCTCCTTATCCTTGGGGATGGGACAGTCGACGACCTCGACCTCTTCGACGCCCTTCTTGACGACCTTGTACGATGTCGGCCTGTAGGCCGGGTGGGAAACCTGAATCTCGCCCTTGGAGCCCTGGATGCGGATCGCGGGCGCCGTCTCGCCCTTGTGGCCGTCGGGTGCTGTGTCGACGCGTAGCGAGGTGGTGGCGATGCCGGTCATCTGGTGCTTGGGGAAGTTGAGAATCATGGTGGTGGACTCGTCAGCACCTGTGACGGGGTACTTTTGCACCGAGGCCAGAACTTCGGGGCTCTCCTTGTCGGCCTCGGCCTCGGGCTGCAGGTGGTACAGCGTCTGGAAGATCCATGTCAGGGAGTAGATGCCCAGGTCTAGCAAGGCACCGCCAGCGAGCTCGGGGTTGACCATGCGGTGGGCGTCGGGGAAGGACAGCTTGCCGGAGGCATCTTCGGCGTTGCTGTTGAAGGACAGGTCCGAGGTGGCGCGGTAGACCTTTCCGATGGCGCCCGAGGAGATGAGCTCGCGGATCTTGATGCTGAGGGGGAAGTAGCGAGTCCAGACGGCCTCCATGAAGAAGAGCTTCTTGGCACGGGCCGTCTCGACGAGGACGCGGGTCTGCTCGGCGGTGACGGTCAGGGCCTTTTCGCAGAGGACGTTCTTGCCGGCGTCGAGGGCGAGCATGGCGTTTTGGAAGTGGTGGGAGTGCGGGGTGGCAACGTAGATGATGTCGACGGCCGGGTCGCGGACGAGCTCGGCGTAGGAGCCGTAGACTGTTGTGTCGGCGGGGGCGTCAATCTTCTTGACAAAGGCGCGAGCCTTTTCGGCGTCGCGGGAGGAGGAGACGGCGGCGATGCGGTGGGCGACGTCGGTCACCTCGCGCGAGGCCGGGTTGGTTAGGAGGTCCTTGCAGAAGGCTATCAAGACGATTTGGTCAGTTACGGCTTGGTGTTGGAGGTGCTCGGTTCTATCGGTGCAAGCATACTCTCGGCGATCCAGCCTGTGGCCATGATGCCCCAGTTGACAGTGTGAGGGGCCATTTTGGGAGGTTGATGTGATTGATCAAAGGGTGTGTTTCTTGGCTTGAGGTTCTGCTGCTAAGAATTGACAGAATCTCAGCAAGGGAATCGAATGCCTGTGTATATATATGAGACGATCGATACTGGAGAGAAAAAGAAAGAGGAAGAGCAGACGGGTCAGCGAGGTGCGAATCGGCGAGGTTGCCTTTCCCTTTTCTATCCCGCGCGACCATCCCTACAACGCGGAGCGGACCCTCCACCCCCAAATTCTCGGAGGTAGTTGCTGCGGGGTACGAGAATAGCAAGAAGGGCAGGGGCCCATTGTCAAACAGACGAATCGTCGATGCAAGTCGTGACCAAAGGGGCAACACCACACCACACCAGCACTTAGACTATGGAATTCCATGGTTTGATGAAGTTTTCTGATTGCACAAATGGTTGATTTCCTGCAACATGCAGTTTGACACCGACGAGCCAGCTCCAGAACCAATGTACTTGGCTCGCTAGACAATCATGAATATCACCAGCCGAGTTTACAAACACATCCCGGTGTTCCAATGGTGATGGTCAGTAGCGAAAACATTAGCATAAGCCGCCAAACAAGACGAGTCACCAAAGACGCGATTTGATTTCCGTGCTCCCGTCCCCGTTTCTCGCCCCCCATTCCCCGGGTAAATTGACTTTGGGGTTTGGTGTGAGAATGGGTCCTTTTCGCCGATACTCCGCGATGACACATGGACTCGCAAAAGAGCTATCTAGGGTCAGTCGAGACCGATATCGTAACGCAAACTTCGTACCTGAGGTGAGCCGATTCGACCTCACGGCCCCACCAACTTTTTCGACTCCTAGAGTTTCCTCTTTGGGCCAGTTTGGAGATGGATGGAGCTGGGGTAAACTCTTCGTGTGGTGAGTGGTGATTTTGGCGGGCGACGGGATGGCGGGGTTCGTATTGTTACCCCGCGGCGGAGTCCTCGTTTGCTTATCAGCGATAAGACGTCATAGACGATTAGGTACCTTACCTTAGGTACCTAACCTACCTTCCAAACGTTGTACACTGAGGTGCTGATGTGAAGCTATTCGGCATATACAGAAATATTCAGATCCTGAAGCCTCAGGTTCTCCCCTCCTATGGTCTATATGCCAATTCACTTCGGAAATTCTCAACAGCAATAAAGGGGAACTTGCCCAGAAGACAAAGCTATTCGTAAACCAATCCTGAGGTCAAATTTACCGGGCTGTAGTTTGTTGGGTCCGAATCCCACAAGCGCCTTCTTCAATTTGTTTTTTTGGCCCTTTTGTTCTTGATCTTGATTATTCGGTGCCGGTGGTTATTGACTTAGACCAACACTCTGAAGGCCGATTGATGTTTATGTCTCACGTACGATACATGCCGCTCTGGGCCCTTCCTGGTTGACTACGAAGGTACCTGATCAACCTCACCTAGGTATATGTGCATGTATTCTGCGACAACCCCTCGTCGCCAACATCCTCTCCTTCAACACCTCACCATCCTCAACAAAGGTGAACTTATCACACTTCCTATCATCTCCGCGTACCACTTGACCCCCACGCATACATTCTACCTGTACACCAACAACATCTCATCAGAATGCCACAAACAATCGCCCCAATCCCCCGCCTAATCTACGGCACAGCCTGGAAGAAATCCCAAACCGCGCCCCTCGTCGCCTCCGCCCTCGCCGCAGGCTTCCGCGCCCTCGACACCGCCGCGTCCCACCACTACTCGGAAGAAGGCGTCGGCGTCGGCCTCCGCCAATTTCTCTCCCGGAGCCCCTCACCGGCCACTCACGGCATCGCCCGCGCGGGTCTCTACATCCAGACCAAATTCTCCCCCGCGCCATCAGACCTACCCATCCCAGACCAAGTCCACAAGTCCATCGCCTCCTCCCTAAAGAACCTCGCCGTCGACAACAACCTCTTTGCGCCGTCGCCTACAGACTCTCCAGAAGGGCAGAAGACGGAAGGCGACGAGGACTTCTACCTAGACTGCGTCCTCCTCCACGCCCCCTACCCCTCCTACAAAGACACCCTCCTCGCCTGGCGCGCCCTGGAAACATACGTCCCCTCCCGCATCCGCACCCTCGGCATCTCCAACGTCGACCTGCCGGACCTCCAGCGCCTCTGCGACGAGGACGCCCGCGTCAAGCCCGTCGTCGTGCAGAACCGCCTGAACCCGGATGAGGGGTACAATACCCCCGTCCGCGTCTTCTGCCGCGAGAGGGGAATTAACTTTCAGTCGTTTTGGACGTTGACGGCGAATCCGAGGTTGGTGAGGAGTTCGTTTGTGAGGCAGGTTGCAAAGGGTGCGGGCGTGAGTGACGAGGTTGCGTTTTATGGGTTGGTCCTTGGGTTGGAGGGGGTCAGTGTGCTGGATGGGACTACGAACGAGGTGAGGATGAGGGAGGACCTTGAGGGCGTGGAGAAGGTGGTGGCTTGGGCTGGTGGTGATGGTGCTGAGGTGTGGAGGGAGAGTTTGGCGGCGTTGAAAGCTGTGCTTGGTGAATCTTGAGGCATGCTGAAGAGGGAAGACACCGATCACTAAGTCCGGGTTGGTGAGAAGTACCCAGCAGTAGGTTTGTCTATTCGAGCGGAGAAAAGTCTTGGGACTCCGCGAAACTATTCATGAAACGCCCAAGAATGCAGCTTGTCCTGGGTATTTCCTCAGTCCTGCTGCTAACCTTCTCTCGACAGAGCCCTGAAATGGTTCTATTGCAAGAAAACACCGTCTCATTCCCCTCTCTCGATATTTTGACCATCCCCAACCCTCATCCAGGACAACGTCCTGGCAGAAACAAGACTCGCTGTGGTATCTAAAATCCTAATAAAGAAAAAGCACGAGCCGATGTGGCTATCGTGTTGTCGTCGTCGTCTGCAGCCTCATCCTCGTATCGTATCCTGTCAACCTCATCATTATGGAAAGAAACCTCTCTGCCCCCATGCAATGCCATTAGTCGTCCGTATTGTATTCCTGGTCGTCCACCAAAACCACCACCGTTAACGTTGCCGCGTATGCCTCGCGGATAGCACAAGCCATGCTGGGCAATGTTAGCAATGATTCCATAAAACTAAAGGGTCTCCAGAAACCAACCATGTCTTGCGAATATCGGCAATCACAGCACTCAGTCCCCAGTGTGAACACCAGGCCCGTGCCAAAACCTCGTTGTCCCTGACTCCAAAGGCCTCCACTACCAACACCTGCTCTTCGTCGACTTGATCCTGGCTGCTTGCTGTGTGGGGGCCTGCTGTCGAGCTTGTCCTCGAACTACGAGCACTTGGAGACTGACCATACAGACCACCCCAATCCTTGATGTTCATGATCTCATCGGCCTTGACGGTTTGGAAGACGTAGTCGAAGAACAGTGGATGAGGACCCCCTGAGCACGGCCAGGCTGAGATAAAGGACACATCGTATGTGAGGCGCATAGGCCAGGACACCCCATCCACTGCGAATTGCACCGTCGCATCAAAAACCTTCGGCGCTGGCGGTGGTTCCTGGAAACGGTCCGGGACAGCCTTGAAGCTCAGTAGCTCGATTCGGACAGTATCAACAATGTCGTCTGCGTCGGGAGCCACGAGCTTGTATTCCTTAACCGGGAATACCTCAGCCGGGGGACCCAGAGGGTCAGATCGTTCGCTCATCGACTGTACGTCTTCGGGGGTCATGCGCTGCCGTGGACGCCGAGAGCGCACGCGGGCGATTTGCGATCGGCCAAGATCGGCGGTCGGACGGGCTGGCCCGACCCAACCTGCCAATGATCTACAAGTCGGGGCAAGGACCTTTCCGACAATCGAAGCAGCTGTCCAGTAGGTGTAACTATTCCTATATTGAAACCCACAGTGAGGATGTAGGTGCGTCATCATGGCCAAGGAGTCGGTTGCCTTGTCGGGGTCAATGTCGATGAGGGTGTTCATGATGAGGAATGGAAACGTTGTCTTTGCTTGTTAGCGCGTGCGCGAGGAACCTCTTCGTTGTCAGTGAGCGGAACTTACGCCTGGCAGTACAAGACCGCTAAAGAATGCCAACGCGTCGGAGCTGATAATGTCCAATGTTGCGTCCATATCCCTCTGCTTCATTTTATCAAGGGTCTGGCTCAGGTTTGGCCACTTCATCATCTGAGCAAAGCGCCGTAGCATCTTGATCTGGCGCTTCTTCAGTCTGAAGCGTAGGTTGACTGTCGCAAGTTAGATCTGACCAAGAGAGATAGGCACACGTAGACAGCTTACTATCTTCAACCGACTTCCCATAACCCTCAACCCTTACATGTTCCCGCCAGCGTCTGGCGAGCGCAAGATCCCACTGGATGGTGGGCGGTAATTGAGGCAGTAGCTTCTCCTTGGCCCATTCCCCATGCAATCTCGAATTGATCCGTAGATCAAGTTCCATGCTGAGAACGAGTTGGTGGCAAAACTTGATATACTGCTGTTGGCTTCCGTGGCTTGGGTCGAAAATGAAGCGAGTGACAACTTGATTCTTGGGGTTCGTAAAGTCGATCCAGTCCGGACGTGACAAGACCATGATCAGATCCGTAATCTGCTTGTCGAGTCCCTTGTGCGGGCTCATCATCTTGTCGGGGTCGCGGAGGAAGCGGCGATATAAGCTTTTGTACATCCACTCTTCGTCATCGTCTTCCAACCCCGCCTCCAGCTCCTTCAGACGCTCAAAGATACGATCCAAGCCGACCTCTCGTGCCGTTGCGCCAGAGTCTCTCAAACCGATCGTTGGAGGCTTGATGCTAGCCAGACAAGCCCATTGGTTCAAGGTGATGGTGCCGGGCTGTTGACCGTAAAAGTAGGCGAAGCTCGGCTGTTCCAAGGATTCCCACGGATATATCGCTGAACCGCCACCCTGCATACGAAGGGTCATCAGTTGGGTCATGTGGTCGTGCAAATTGACGACATCCGTTTCTTCGGCATCGTTGCCGGCGGACGTGGTGTAGAGGGCGTAATAATGATCGGATGCATGGGGTACAGGACGCTTGTGGCCTTTGTGGGCCGGGGCGCCGCGGGAGACGAGTTCCATGGCATGGCCAAGGGTGAGCTCCTCTTGACTTGACATGCCGGAGGGCGGCCATTCTGTTAGTGGTCCCTGCTCGAGGATGATGCCATTGGGATGCGCGCGACCTTTTCCTTTGGCTCTTGCGGGATCAGGCCTTCTAGGTCGTCTGCGCGAACGAGGGTGGTCTGGGTGAAGATTTGGGTGGCCGTTGGGAGACTCGACTGTTCTCGAGGCCTTTGGCATGTCTGGTAATGACTTGCGTCTGCGCGGGACTACATCTCCATCGCTCGCCCTACGCGATTCTGGATTCTCCTGTAGTTTTTGTCAGTCAAAAAGTAACGAAATGCAGCGCGTGTGTTTGTCACGGCGCAAAGTGTTTGGGTTGTCGAACCAGTCTCCCTTTCTTTGCCAGGCTCCTGTTGCGAAAGATGCTGCCCCAGAAGCTCTTCTTCTCGCTGCGGCCCTCTTGATCTCTCTCCTCTTTAACGTCTGCCATGTCTCATTAACGAATTATGTGTGGGTGACCTCGAGGCCGTGTCATGCGCTTGAGGAAGTAATTGTAAAGTGATAAACAAACAATGTTTGTTAGGTTGATTGAGGCCCGGGCGGGAATGGGCGCAAGTGAAGTCGTCAGTCTACGTGGCTGCGCACCATGCGCGTCACGAGGAATGCGCCTGTCGCAGACAGCTTGAAGTGCTCAGCATCGGCTATAGTACTATTCAGGCGTAGAGATGTTGGTGGTTAAAGATATAGTCCTTTGGCGATTAGAGCAGCAATTGAAGCATCCTTTTTTTCGGAAGCGCGGCGATCTAGAGCGATTTATCAAGATCGGTATCCGTGGGAACAGGACGTCTTCGTCGGAGGTTGGGTCCAAGGTCTGTGTGGTGAACGTCTGTGAGGCAATCTGAAAGAGATCAGCGAAGCATCTCAAGTCGAGGTGCCGCAACAAGTCGAGGTGGGCGCAGCGCTATGCAAAGCTGGGAAAAAGTCGTTGTGCCCCGTAAGGTAGCTTGTTGCTCACGGTCGTCCTCGCAGCGGTCCGCTCGCAAACCACAAATTATCGGGCAAGTCAAAGTTGGGAGCAAAAAGATGGTGGTTGTCCAGTCGTGGCGCTCACTGCAGGTCGAGGTGGTGGTTCACGTGTCGCAGAAGCATGAGATGACGGAGTGAGTCCGGGCGGCGGCGGGTCTCCTTTGGTTTTTGGGTTTCTGGGTTTCGGGGGTAGTGAGGGAGAGAGTGAATGAGTGGCGGAGGGTGAGTGTGAGAGGTGTGGTGCGTGGTGAGTGAGTGCTGTGCGGTAAAGTGGTGAGTGAGTGATGCGTGTGAGAGTGAGCGAGCGGGCACCCGGGAACGGGAGGAACCAAAGTGAGTGGACGGGGCAGTACGGCACATTGACTGATGCGATGCAACGGAGCGGCGATGGACACCAGGACACGACAGCTGCGGCGTTTTTAGATCCAATGCCATTGAATTTTTCTTTCTTTTCTTTTCCAACGCAGGGCTGCAGTTGCTCCAGTTGCTGCGGACATGTCTCGCTAGTTTTCATCTCCTGCAGGTCGCTGGTTCCTTGCTTCACATTTCTCCTCCGTGATGGGATCTACCCAAGGTAATTACCAACCTGCCTTAGTATACGTTCTATCGCCCTAGAAAGATGGAAGGTACCGCGGTGGGGGAGATGTCCGTCACTGGCCGGATGGATGGTCGCGGGTCTGCAAGCCTGGTCAGGAAAGGTCAAGTAAAGGTACCTACCTACCTGCCTACCTTCTTCCCACTTGCAACTCACTAATACCGCGCATACGGAAAGGAAGGGACGGATAGACGTTCATGTAAGTGACATTTCGCTAGAATAGAACAACTAAGATGAAGGCAGGCAAGTGTCACGGATACCTTCCTTAGCTTCATCTTAGACGCGGGAGCAGAGGAGCGTCAACGGTGCACACCACACGCTGCCTGTCGTCCTGGTTGCTGGGTTCTTAGTGAGCCACGCCAGTCAGTCAATACCTGACTGCCTTATTACTTTTACAACCAAGATCAGGTGGCTGTGGGAAAAGTCAACCACGCAACCGCAAACGAGGTTCGTCGTGATAGGCCAAGCCGTCGCAGATGCCCGACAACTCAACAGCGAATGAGCCTGCACGTTTGACGTCGAGGAAAGGGAAACCCAGTCTCCCTTGCCGGCAAGCAAGAAATCCAAACCTGCCACGTCGTATGTCATCCCGCTCTCTCCACGCAATCTGACTCGCCTAGCACCAACTCCAGGGCCATGCGTCTGTCCGAGCTTCTTCGTCCCTCGTTTGCCTCGTTTTTTGGTTGTGCTTGTTCCCAAGTTTCCAGCAACTGCTTCTTACTATCCGTAGTCTACTAGGTAGGCAGTACACGACACCTATCGAACAAACTGGACACCCTATCCGGATCCCGAATCCAAGGAACCCCAATCCTGGCTTTATCCAACTATTACCGCCAACAACAAACCACTTGTTCACCTCCACCGCCGGCACTAGAGCCCACGAACCCATCTTTTACCGCCCTCGTCCATGCACGTCAACGACCGCTTTTACCATCCGATGCCGTAACAAGAGTTCGACGCCCGTTGGACCACTCCTCGATCGAGATCGCGACCCCTCGAGATGCTTGTTGCCCAGCCGCCCAATCAACCTGTCACGTCTCTGTACCGGAACTGGCTCCTGTCTCGAACGACCCAGGCCTTTTTCCCCAACAGAACCGTTCTCAGGGTCCGCCGCCTTCGTCTCGTGAGCGAAACATTTGCCCAGAGCCAACGCTTCTTCGAAAGTCTTTACTTTATGTCGTGATACCCGGCTCCGAACCAGACTCCAGCAGACTCGGATGGCCGCCCACCGGACCTCGACGCTGCCGCCTCCAGAAACCAATGTCCGACACTTCCGGCATCCACCCGTTCGCTTTGTCATGACCGCCCTGCGCCCTCTGCCGCAGCAGAGCAGAGAACTCTCTTTTACGTCATTGACTGGTCGCCTTTCACTCCCCGCGGCTTCTCCAACATTAACATGCCGGCTGCTATACGCGCTGTGAATCTGACGTGGTCTAACGAACCGACGATGTTACTCCCCGCCGTTCTCGTCTGTGGACCAGTGGTCTGACATGTTCCTCAATCTAAAGGATCTTCCTGGTGTAACTCTGGATCTTGTGTTTCGACCTGTCGTCTAGATGGTGTGACAGCCGGGTCCGGGGTCTCTGGTATTCTGGAAGCCGTCTTTCTGATTCCATATTAAAGGCCTTGTATAGACCTCCAAGTTACCTGTCCACATGATGGTCGCTGCATCTCGACGCTCTCGCCCGCCGCGGCATATCTTGCTCAACCCTCTCATGTCCCCGATATAGTAAGTCCTCGGCACTCCGACCTCCGGTTAAGTAGCTCCGGCCTGGCGGTGGAGAAGGCAAGCAGTCTGATAAGCAGCATCTGCTTACAACTCATGGCTCACGTCCAAGTCCAGCGCCCCAATGGACCACAAAGATAGCCACGGAGACACGGAAATCCTCCATTCGAAACACGCTGTTGGACTAAGATCAGTCCAACCTTCCTGGCGCACTGAACTACGAGCCAGAGGTTATCTACAGAGTTCAACCTAAGCACTGGGCAGACTCTTGGACCCTGAACTTTCTTCAATGATCAGAAAGCTACACCTCGACATGCCAAATTCGTGAATTCTGGTGCCCATCTTTTGAACTCACGGACTATTGCCGGCGATGCCATTTCCCTTTGCGTATGCCGTAAGCTCTTCCGGAGTCTGTTCCGCTCCGGACCCACCTAGTGACCACCTGCTATCGCGTTCATGCACTGGGCCATAGCATATCATACCAGTCGATATCGACTGAATGCGCCCAGAAAAAGATCACGGCTGGAGGCGGTAGTTTGGAGTGGTGAAGAACCCCGCCTGAGCCCCTGGGTACATGGTTATGTACTCTTCGGGGCCAGTATGTAAAGGCTATGGTGTCCAATAGCAGTACATTCCTGCTTTAGTAGTACCGTAATTGCGCCCACGCCTTTCTCGTGTGATCATTCGTAGTGTGGCCTTTATATCTTTAGCCAAAGCGTCTGAAGGACCGAATGGCGTCTAGAGACTAAAACAGAGAAATATTGCCTGGCTGATGCTTTTGCGGCACCAGCAACATTCTTCTCCGTAGCTCGTCAACCGGGAAGTGTTTTGCAGCAATTGATAGCTAGCCAGTGATATTTCTATCGAAGTAAGTCATGTGACGAGGAGTCTCCTCGTCACCGCGAAGAGCGCGAGTGGCTCCCTCTATTGCTACTCGTCGATTCGTCGAATTGTATTATCTAGGTTCAGACAACAAGGGAATATACTCTGTAGCCTTGGCCTCAAAGCGGACTCAGAATTCCAGGTTGATCAACTGCCAGTTCTGTCGATGTTCCGGTTTGATGGCATACATGACACGCGCCTTTAGACCGACAAACCCAAAAAAGCAAAAGAGTTCACCCCCCCGGTGGCGAACGGGGGCTACATCTCTTGGTGCACATGCTGGGATTTTTAGTCGACTCGAACTCGGGACCTCTGAGCCTTCACCGATTAGGCTGTTCGTGGACTTCAACCACTCCACCACCCAGCCAGTTTTGACCTGACCCCCAAGGGGGCGCCTGCTGGCTGGTGACAGGAATGGGATCGAGGGGTTCTATATGGGTTTCTTTCTGTGTGTATTCCATTGTTTATTCATCTGATATCGCGAACATAGGAAGGAGTGGGGATCGGCACATGACCTCTGGCAAGTGACGGGAGGCAGGAAGGCGGAGGCCTGGAAGGAGCGGGTCAGAGGCACGCGGGTCGCCATATGCGACGTTCTCCTTGCCTCTGATGGGTCTTCCAGCCTTTCAAATTCCGAGGTACCTTCCTAACAATTCTGAGGGCTTTCAAGTTACGTATTTAATATACGTGGGCATGTCTTCATCATCCCTACCCACCAGGTCGTCTGCTTCTACATGGTAGGTTAGAGACAAGGCTCATCCAAACAAGTAGCTTGGGAATACAAGCTTTGGTGTGCTGAAATAAAGAAGAAATGATTAATCCCTAAGACTTGATTGACTACCATAGTGTGCTAGACATATGGATTGCCAGACAAGAAACAGAAATATCGGCAGCTATAATTGTCACGTCACAAGACTCACTGGTTTTATAGACCTCGGTTCACTTTCATTCCTCGTCAATACGGTTCTTCCCACTTGGTGAAACTGGTAAAGTAAGACAAGACTGTCAAAGTAGCAAGTGCAGATGTCGAGAGGGGTCAGGCATGCCAACGTCGACGCCATCTCCAAGCTTCGTGTAGGCTAGATCTCGTTGACTCCCGTCTTTCCAAGCATAGCACGTCTACTTCACGTCACCAGATGAATCACTCGACGCCAAGGGGAAGCCATCTACCTTACCTTGGGGATTAGGCATCTTGCTTAGAACCGTATACCTCCCAGGTGCGGCCAAGCGAGTGCCTCCCATCCCAAAGCCTCCGCCCCCTGCCCCGTTAGGAAGGCGCACCTTCCCACCTCTACTTCCCTCCTTCCCCAGTAATCGTTGTCCAGGTGACGTACCGAGCTACTTAAGGAGTCTAATCACAGTTCCTGTCACCAGCACCCACCGGGCCAAATGGCCGGGTGGTTTCGACTCTGACGCAGAGTCGTGTTATATGAAATACTCCGATGAAGCCGTGCTGGTCCGAGGGGCGCGCTGTTCGAATCCGAATAGGGGCGTGAATTATAAGGTCAGTATCCCCCCTCCCTCCCCTGTTTCTTTTTTTGCTTTTTCTTTGTCTCTCATAGTTAGAAATGTTTGAGGGGATTACGCCATCTGAGAGAGAAGTCGCCTCCTTCAAACCAAGGCACTGCCTGTAATGATGAGCTGTTCTGGTTGCATCATGATTTGTTTCTTTTCTGTATCTACTTCAGCATCTATCCCGGTTCGTTCTACTCTGAATACCAGCCTGGAATTGAACCGTTGATGACAAGCGTAGATGCCCTCCGTAGGAGGCCACGATGTGCTTCCCGCATCTTTGGTTTATCGCCTATCTTAGAAGCTGACGCAATTGCTTTGAAAACCGTTAGATGGCACATTATGCGTAGAAAGGTAGCGTTCGATTTACCTGTAGTTTGGCTGTCAATTGTTGACTTGTCGCAGGCTTTGAGCTCAGGAGACTCATGAGGTCACGCTTCCCGTTCTGGATATCCAAGACATACTATGACAATGGCTGTCAGTAATCTTCTTCACCAGCATTCAATATTTAACTCTGCTTACCTGTTCGATGGAATTGCTTATCACAAATCGAATGGTTGTGACCTCTTGAGTCTGCCCTATTCTATGTATCCTCGCCAGTGCCTGCTCCTCAATAGACGGGTTCCATTGTGGTTCAAGCAGATAGGCTCTCGAAGCAGCAGTGAGCGTCAACCTATTTAGAAGACATCAGAGTTCATGACATCTTGCGTGATAGTGACACAACTTAGCGCTAGTGAATGGGCTGGACATACCCGACAGCGCCGCAACCTAAGGACAACAAAAGTACGGACGGCCCGTCCGCCTTTGAGAATTCGTCAATGATACGACTCCTCTTGCTTGAGCTTTTCTTGCCATCTATCTTGGCGCAGCAGATTCCAGCGTCGTTGAGAGCTAGTTCTGCGACATCGAGGATGGATGTCCGGTAGGAAAATACAATGCTGGACTCCGTCAGTTACGTGGTCTAGGGCGAGGAAGGCCTTGATGCTACCTTTTGGTTCCCGGAACGCAGCATTTGATATCGTTGACAAGGGCTTTGATCTTGGTCGGCCATTGATCTATGGGCATGGAACCACAGAGCATGCCGCTTGGTCCTTGGGTCCAGTCAGACCCAAGGTTAGGTAAAGGCGGACAGAAGTTGTCGATCGCTTCGGCAATGCTGCCATTCTGGACATCTTCGTCCTCCTCTCTTTCTCTTCCGGGTGTCAGTGGAGTTGACTGTCGATCTGGTGTTCTAGGCAGTAGTCTCATGGAAGATATAGGCTTCTGAAAACATCCCAGCTCGCAGACAAGCCTCAGAGCATTAATTTTCTCCAATGCATTACTGTAGCTATCTTCCCCTCTGTGAGATGCCAGCGCGTTGTCGATAAACTCAATGGTCTTGATCTTGACGGCGTCGTACAAACGTTGCTCCTGGGAGCTCAGATAAACGTGCCGCCGGTGATCCTGTCGTTCTGGTAAGGTTATCGTGTCTTGCGAACGTCTCAGCATAACGTAGCCGAGAATTTTCTTCAGCGCTGCCGGACCAGTCTCTTCCCCGCGAAGCCAGGGGTTCGTTATGTCCCTGTCAAAGGCTTTCTTATCATCATACGGATGCAACCCAAGGAAGTGAAATAAGCTGTGGAGCTCAGAAAGTCGGTTCTGAATTGGTGTTCCGGTAACCACCCACTTGCATTCACCTCTCAGCTCACATATGGCTTGAGCTTTTGCTGTCCTTAGGTCCTTGATCTCATGTGCTGTGTTAATAAGTCAGCCTGTAAGTTGATCACGATAATCGAGGATACATACCTTCATCCAAAATGATTCGATGCCACTCGTGTGAGAAAATCGGACTCTCATTGGTCTGCACATGAACTTTCCACTCCTTCGCAAGTGTCGTGTACGTCGTGAGGATGATGTCACTCGTGCTCAAATGGCACACATCTTTCAGTTGGGTTTTCGCGTGATGACGACGCCAGTTGAAGTGACCCTCAAGAAGGTGTCTAGGAAATTTGTTACTCGATCACATTCACGAAGCTCTCGATCCGTAAGATCACGTACTTGGTTAATTCCTTTTCCCAGTTGTCGAGAACTAAAGCATAAATTGGTTAGTTCTGTTCAAGCAGGACTCTACATGTTCAATGACATACGTGAGAGAGGCACTATAATCAGGGTGCCACCAGAACCTAGCGAATCTGGTTCCTGTCTCACGGATTGCGATCCACTCTCCCAGAGCTTATCATGGGCAATCAGTGATATCATACTGAGTGTCTTGCCGAGACCCATGAAATCGGCAAGAATCCCGCCTTTGAAAGGAACAGGGGGTGTGCAACGAAACGACGAGTTGACATTATTAATATAACTGAAAGTAAGCTTAAGGTCAATGAATCATAGAAAGTAGTCTTACGTTGTTCGCCCAAACTCGTCAACATGCTGAGACCACACGTCCCCATTAGGCTCATGTAATCGCCAGCCACGTTCTCGTTCAAGCATAAACGTCAAGCCTTGCTTCTGGTGACTTATTTCAGTTGGTATGAGCATTTCTTCATTCCGTGGTTGAGACGTATTCGTTCTCACCTTTGCAGCTCTGTCCGAAGAAGATATGAACCGCTCGTCTCACGTCGCACAGTTGTTGAAGTAACGCTCTTCAACACGTCTATGGCCACCAGCGCCTCATCCATGCTAGCTGAGACTTCGTCCTCATCTGGAAAGACAGTTCGAAAGTCGGTCGTTCGACTTCCCGCCGTATTAGTGAAGCGTTGCGGGTTGAAGTATTCGACATCTGTTAGAGAGAAAGCTGGATCCTGTAGATAAAGCTCGGCTTCTTGCAGCGTACTACCAACTCCCTGGGCTATTTCCCGTGCTCCGTATAATGTTATCCATAGTGATATGCTATAATCATCTACAACCTCTTGCTCAGCTGGCAGCCCGAGAATATCAATGCTGATGCCTTCGCGGTGAAACAACTCAAGCAACTCACGACCACGTGAGCCCAAAGTCGCGCGGAATTCTGGGTTTGTTGAAGAAACCAGTTGCCATTCGTTGTCTAGAATTAGATGAACATTCATTACTGGGGTCTTCTCAACGTCGGTCATCCATTGTGCGTACAATGACGTGAGCTTCTTTGATTAGTCTTGGAGAACCTAGGTTTCAATGAAGCTTTATAAACATACCATTCCAAAACAAATAACTTGGTCCTCGAAATTGGGCACCTGAAGATCTTCGAATTCGCAAGCGAACCACTCAGAGTTAACCTGCGAATATTCTTCAACAGAAAAATTGTTGGTAGGCACTGGTAGCTTCTTCCTGGTCATCTGATTCTCATCTCCCGAGGCAGAAGCTTGGTATGCAACAGTAACTGACCCGGATGCTATCAAGTTCCCGTCTACTCGCCTTCGCTTTACGCCATGATGAGGATCCGACGACATTGAGGAGGTCCAGAGAGCAGTTGATGTGATACGACTGTCTCCCAGATTGGTAGTTACGGGATGCTATGTGCCTCGAAGCGTTAGACTGGCAATGGATGGGCGGTATCAAGGTAGATGGCTCTTATAGGGTACTAGCACCACTGCTGAATTGAACGTTGCAGGCAGGCTAGGCTTACCGCCGCCTTACCGCTTCACATAAACAAGGGGGATGTCAGCCTCGTGTGACAACACGCTGGGCAGTGCATGCAGGATCGCTGCACATTGGAGTGGTTGGTCGCGATGCATTGGCTGATTGGCACCTAATCTATGCCAATATTCGTGACTGCATTGCGCCACTTCAACTCAGGAAACAGTGGCTTTGCAAGGCATTCGCAAACATGGTCTTAGCTATCCTACAGCAACATATTAAGTACCCAAGCGTGCCCAATTTCTAGCACAACAGCACACCGGCACTCTCGGCGCAAATGGTTTGGATAATTCAACATGGCTCTTCTGCAGCTCCAAAGAGCATGTGAGCGCTTCCGGTCACACTTGTCGGACGAGGAGACGCGGCGAGTGGAAAACGTCAAGAGTGTGGAAGATGTTCGCGAGGCTATCACTCAAATGGAGCGCTATCTCGCCTCCCGTCAAAAGTTACGAAATTTCGAACGGCTCGTACCTTTTCTCGACGCAGCTGATCGTTTGACAAAACCCATCGACGTCCTATCTAATGGCGTTCCGTTCCTGCCTTACATATGGGTGAGTTCCTCCAGTGAGAAAAACTTCCAAGAGGGACGATCTGATCATCAATATCATGTATCTAGGCACCTCTGAAGCTCATTCTCCAAGTGAGTTGACTCGCATCTACCGCTTGATTAGGGCCTTGTAATACTAAGAGTGCCGGTTCGCTTAGATATCTCAAGACCACACGCATGCATTGGATGAGATTCTCTCTGCTTATAGTCGGATTGGGGCCTCACTTCCGCGTTTCTCTCGATACGGCAATGCGTTCCCGGACAGCCACGACTTCCAGCAACTGCTGGGCCACATTTACGAGGACATTATCGACTTCCACTGCCATGCTTACCGACTGGTACAAAAGCCGGGTAAGTTTTCCTTGAATAAAAGTGCCACTTTCGCATTTCATGCTCATTGGCTTTTTAGGGTGGGCAATGCTCTTCTCGACCTGTTGGGGTCGATTCCAGCATCGGTATGATTCATTACTTGACAGCATCGCCAAAACCAGCGAACTCATAGATAGGGAGGCAGCTTCCTATGAGATAGTCCAAGCTAGAGAATGGCGGCAAAAGCTTATGGAGGACGCGCAAGATCGAGAAAAGAAAGAACAGATTCACCAGCGCGAAGCTGTCAACAAGTGGCTTCAAGTGAGCGACAGAAACGAGGAAAAGCTTGAGCGCCTTCACAACCGTTGTCTCGATGGAACATCTCAATGGGTGACTAAGTCGCCCCAGGTTCGATCTTGGCTCCAAAAGGGCAGAGGAAAGCCGGTCTTGTGGCTTCATGGAAAGCCTGGCTCTGGTAAGCTGCGTCCGGTTTAACTCAGAGATACCGACTAATCTTTAAAGGCAAATCCATCCTATGTTCGCAACTCATCTACTTCCTCAAATCAAGCCCCAACTGGAATTGCTTATTTTTCTTGTGCGATTTTCATACTTCAGGCTACGGGGTAACCGTACAGGTCTTACGGAGCATATGTGCCCAGATTCTAGACCTTGTTCCGGAGACGGCATCGTTCATGTACAAAGAGTGTGTCGTTTCTGGAAAAACACCTTCAACATCATTTCTCAAAGAGTTTGTCCCAAAACTTTTTGGGTTCTTCGAAGACTTGCGCCTGATCATCGATGGAATCGATGAGATTGGGTCATCGGAACATGGAGAACTGATCAAGACCCTGGCAAAGCTGGCAGAGACGCAGGGAAACTTCAGGTTGCTCATATCTAGCCAGGATATACCGAGCATAGCGAGGAACCTGAAGGGCAGACCAACACTGATAGTTGGGAAGCAGTCTGCGTCTGTTTGTAAGGATATTGGCTTGATTGTCTCAAGCCGCCTGGAAGCCATCAATGAAGGGCTAGATGGTCGAGTCCCCGAATCGGTGTTCACTGAAATTCGGGAAACAATCCTCAAAAGAGCAGAAGGTATGGGGATTCCCTTTTAACACGAAAAGAATTGGAAGGGCTGACGGAAGCGTAGGAATGTTCCTATGGGTTCACCTAGTATTACAGGTGTTGGAGACGACTGACAATATTCAAGAGCTTATGTCGAGCGCCGAGGCCTTTCCCAAAGACCTTGAAGAGGCGTAATTTCTATACTCTCCCCGATCTTTCGTATCGTAGCTGATTATAACCAGGTACTCGAAGATTCTCACAAGTATCATGAGCCGTTGTCAGGTAACAGATGTGTCGAAGTTACGACGAATATTTGGCTGGATGGTATTTTCGAAGGGCGGCCAGCCAATGAGAAAATTTGAATTACGGCTCGGTCGAGTGCTCCATGCCGATTCGACCATAATCAATGAGAGAACGAAACCGTTTCCAAACGTTTTGGATCTTTGCAAACCATTCATAGAGGACGGTCCAGGTGCAACCATGGTGTTCATCCACGCCACAGTACCCAAGTAAGTGTCCCAAGTAACCTGCTTCCACACCCTCAGATTGGTTGACGTCTCATGCGAGATTTCTCCAAGCCCAATCCAGTGGGCCGTTCATCAACAAGGAAGATTCTTGCCGAGATATCACAACTGCCTGTATTGCGCAGTTGACACAGAGCTTGGCTCTGGCCGACGAGGCCTTGGAACTCCAGCAGCATCTTTATTGTGTTGCACAGGGTTTCTACGGACTCCTTCCCTACGCTGATGAATACTGGATTGAGCACCTACTGGAGTACCTTGAGCTCAGTCAAGGGTTCTGCACACCCGATTCTTCGAGAATACAAGGACAACTCAAGGCGCTTGCTAGAAATTGGATCGACCTTGTGGGAGAAGAGTCCACGCGAATCTCCAATGCGGAAAGCCCCGATTCTCGATTGCATTGGTTCGAAAGCCTCCCCTCAACGAGAGCACTAATTCAGGAAGCCCTCGAACTCCGCAAAGCAACAAAGGAGTCGGTTGGTATGTGTACAATTTAATTCTTCTGTGTTACTACCTTTGACATAACGCAGATATGCTAATTGATGATTCTAATTGTGCAGAGAATATGCCCTCTCCTGGGGATACAACATTACTATCGTCCGTCAGAACAAAGTATCACACTTATGTTGTCGACCTATTAAGAGAGGCCAATTGTCCGGGGCTTTCAGCTCAGGATTTTATCGCATATAAAGAAGAATACGGCCCGTCCGCATTCGTGTGTCCCATTTATGGATGCGACAAAGCTGTAATCGGATGCTCCTCAGTCTCACAACTGAAAGATCACTCAACGAGCCATCAAGAGAAACTGCGATGCTTCGAACAAGACTGCTTCTACAATGATGTTGGGTTTGCCTTTTTAAGGCAACTCAAATACCACCAGAGAAGATGCCATCCCTCACCCCTACCACCATCGATTCCTCAGCAGATTCTTCGGAGACTGGGCCAGGAGAGTCAAGCGCCTGCGACGTCGTCAACAAATGCCAAGCAAAGTCGCCAAGAAATACAGTATGGTGCAAGCAATCAAGCTCCTATACTAACCACAGTTTCTCAGCAGAGTCCTCAAGAAACATCGGACTACAAAAGCTCAGTAGCATCCGCGCCTTCCCCATCGCCTGCGTCAACGCCCGCTGCAGTCCAGCAGGCACCCCAGGCGATGCAGCTGCCTGAGATGGAGGGAGGGTTCCTGTCCAAGCCGCAGTTGGGGGATCCAATCAGCCGACAGGTGCAGGACGCTGCGCAGCAGCAGCAAATACTGCCAGGAGTAGGAAGCCGGGCTGCTCCCGCGAAACCTGCTCACCAGAGACTGATGGATGATATGGAACTTAAGGAAACCCTTATTAATACATTCAGAGCTCAATTTGATGCCCCTCCCGAAGTTCGGAAGTGGAAAGACGTTTGGCAGTGGCTTGAAATACATCCCATTCAGCCCCAGATGCAACAGCAGCTTGAGAGGATCCAGGCTTCGGAGTTCTCGACACGTATGCAACAGGAACAGGAACAGAACCGGCAACAACTGCTGCAGCGCCCGCCGCAACCGCAGCAGAATGGCATGCCTCTGAACATGTCTCCTTATCAGGATCCTCCAATTCAAGTGACGCCAAGCGACAATGAATACCTTTCCTACTGAGACCCTCGCTTTGTGGACCTCCCAAGCGACTATTTGGAGCACCTTACTGCTCCGATGAACCAAGACAGCATAGCCGACCATTTTCGTTTTTAAAGAATTTGTCATGGAGCAAGCGATAGAACAGGATAATATGGAACGAGCAACGATTTTCCCTCTGCCGACGCCACAAGCGCGACATATGCCTCAGCGGTCTCCTCCGCGAGAATACACCACCCTTCCGGCTATCAACGCCGAAGATCTTTGTACGGTGAGGCAGCGGGTACTCTCCTAGGTAGCCTGATCAACTGGGTCGTTGGCGCGGAGCGAGGGCTAGCTGGGCGCGGCGTTTGGGGCGAGATATGGATGGATGGGTGTGTCGAGACAAGCATAGAACGGCTGCAATGGCAAAGAGGCACCAGAGGGAGCTTTTCTTCTTATCATCAAACGTGCTTGAAACATAAGATAGAGAAGCCCTAGAGGGCCTTGAGGTCCGAAGGGTACGAATGTTGTAGAAATTCTGAAATCCATTTTGCAGTTCAGAGACCTCAACCTTGAGGTTGATCTGGCAATTCCTATGTTATAGTTGTATTGCAGGCCCCGAATCATGTATGAACTCCTAGTAAGAGATGGACAATATCAATATAAGACTTATCCTGCTCACCACTCCTCTCCACCCCACGAGTATTCCGCCCTTCTGAATAAGCTTCCACGGACGACTAGAAGCTAATGTGGGCGTACCGTTGGCTGCTCTTGCCGGTATGGCGGGAAGGCTACAACTTATGAGGTCCCGCGCAAGATCCCACCAATGGGCTGCATGCCTTTCCATCTCGAGGCTGATATTGATTGATATCCCTCTTCCCAGGCCAAAATCCATTCTACAGAAGGGAGGCTGTCAAAATATTCGGGTTGTTTAGGAATAAACACTAGTAATCCGTTGCTAATGAGCACGCGGACAGCAGTATTCGATGAGCTCTCGCCTACGAACTTGTGATGCTCCGCTGCTGGACGTTGTTATTGGTGGCCTCAGGTATCGCGAGAGTCAGTGTCTGAACAAGCATGATGGCACTGAGGCCGGATGTGCGGTATCATGGCGAAGGCGCGGGCACTCAATACGGAGCAAGAAGCTCCTGGCAGCGTGAGAATGGTGAAAGGATTGAAAGATGTGGTGACTCCGCCTCTGGCCTTCATAGGCATCGTCGGAGACATCTCACAGCCCGGAGAAATCATGTCATTATACTTCCTCCAAATACAACTCCTTCCTGGTACCTGATGTCACACACTAAGATATCTAAGCAGTTAGCTGGCTGGCATAGTCAAGGCGGCTTCCGTGTGGCATCGCAACTCGAAACATTGCCTTCGGATCTCTCACTTGGACTTACACGAGACGGAAGCCTTTCTAAGCGCAAGCTAACACGAAACCTATACAACAGCCGGACATCAGGAAGACAATCAGCCTCTCTTCTCTCTTCTCTCCATCTCACCTCACATCACTCCACGCAAAAGTCATAACAGACACAAACATACACACAGAATATCGATTATCGCACCATATCTATCTCATACAACACCGCTTCTTCTACCTTAACGTCGACAGGTATCATAACCAATACCAAGTAAAAAGGAAAGAGCACCGATCCAAATGCAACACACCAACCAAACCATGCAAACGCAAACAAACTACAGCTTACAAAGAGAAAGTGAGCAGCATCTCATGAGATGCTCCATCAGTCAACGCTTTTGTCCCCACACTTTACTTCACAAACCCCTTCCCCCCTTAGATAAGCTCTTGTCGGATGGGCTCTCCAGTGGCATTACCGCCGTTGAGGACCCCCTTGGCTGCCTCCATCCTCTCGATAGCGGAGCGGTACTAGAAACCCCAAGTCAGTATCTTGGCTCACGAAATCTCACTGGCATGAGTCCTAACGGAACGTGAGAGAGGAACTTACAGCAAGCACAAAATTGATCACCAGCGCAGCCATCAACGCGATGCTGATAATCAACGGCCCGACAAGGTTATCGAAATCCTTGCCGCTGCGACCGATAATCATCTTCCTCCGCAGCCTCATCATACCGTAGCCCCAGATACCCGCAAACACGGCGATGCAGATGTACACGATGCCCATAACCTCGGCCAGGAAATTCTCCCCGGCGGCCGTGTAGAGCGACACTGCGAGCGCGCCGAGCAGGATGCAGATGTGCTGCCACTTGAGGAACGTGCGCTCGTTGGCCAGCCACACCTTGGGCTCAATCTTGAGCTCGCCCGAGTTCTTGATCCACTCGGTCGGCTCCACGACGCCCTCGGGCAGCTGCTGCTGGTTCTTTTGCGCCCTCCGCGCCTGCGAGTACTTGGACAGAGAGAAGCCGGGGAGCACGGACGAGAGCGTGCCGTAGCTCCTCTGCTGGCCGTTGGAGCCCTCGCCGTTCTGGCGGCTCGACGACTGCTGTGACTCGTCGTTGACGGGTCTCGACTGGGAGCGCGAGCTCTCGGCGGCCATTCTGTTGGCGAGGTACGACTGGCCGGCCGGCGAACTCTTGGATATCTTATACGAGCTCACCTTATTGCCCAAAAAGCTGCCGACGGCCTGCTCGTCCTCGGCTCTCTGCGCCTTGCGCTGCTCCTCGGCCTCGAAAGCCACCTGCGGGTCCTTGCGGATGTCCGCCTCCAGATCGCTCAACCAGAAGGGCAGGTTGTTGACAAAGTCCTCAAACAAGGAGGCAATGCCGTGGACGAACTTGGAGAAGCGAGGCGTGGGGTGCACCAGGTGGGATGCCATTAGGTCCGTGATCCACGCAGGGCGCTTACGGTTGGGGTCCTCTTTCAGCTTGATCTCCAGAATGGCGTAGGGGAAACGGGAGACCTCGCTCTGGTTGATATCCTTGAACGGGTACGTCAGGTTTCGACCGTCAATATCGAGACGGTGCCATTCTGCTGGGTCGCGGCACGGCCTATCTCTGTCCAGCGTGTCCTCCCGGATGAAGGCTACCTCTGTGTCGATGGAGATACGCACGCGGTCGTCCGCGGGCTTCTGGAAAGCGGTACGAACATAGTTTGCGCGCAAGACGGGCTGTAGCTTGTTCTCTTGCATGAAACCCTGAAGAGACTCGACGGTGCTCTTGAAATTCTCAACCACCTCCGCCTGCTGGCCCTGACGCTCCATCTTCTCCACCGTCTTCTCCATCTTGTAGGTGCCGTCGATGAAGGGCTTGATATACTTGTCCTTAATGGGAAACTTTCGCTCCTCGCTGGATCCTTGTTCTCCAACAATCTTCTGTTCGAGGAACAACTCAGGCTTCGCACTCAACTGGCCATACCAACGTACGCGGAGCGAGGACGCTTCCGCCTTGCGCTCCACCTTCTTCCCGTACAAATCGAACTTTGAGTTATCAAAATAAAGCGACGTGATGGTCGGGTCATTGCTTCCATCCAGCTCCTTAGCGGACTGCTCGCTGTAGACAAGGGCCGGAAGACGTCTCATAATATACGTCTTGACCTCCAGTAGGTTATCCGGGTGGACCCAGAACTTGTGGGCGGTGTACCGCTCGCCGTGCCGCGTCTCTCCTTGGCTCTCAAGATCCAGTGGCTGCGCATCGCCGGCGCCGTCGTCCAGCTGCTGCCGAATAGCATAGTACATGATGGACAACTTGTTGAGCAAGGGCGAGTAGCCTTGCTCCGAGTTGAAGGGCCGTTTCGCCAGGCTCAGCTGCATCATCGGTCGCACCTTGTATCTATCGCCCCTCTTGCGGTCATGTTTCTTGACGATCTTGAGGAAACCAGTGTAGTTGATGTTGCTGTACTTCTTCAGCTCCGAGATTTCGGTCGTGATCTTGTCGAGCTCCGTCTCAATGTCCTTCAGCTTCTGCGCCGTCGCAGCGTCGGGCTTCTTGACCTGGTCGTTGTCCGCCCCTTCATCCTCCTCACTAGTCGGCGGTGCCAATTCCTTGAGCTTCTCAAACGCGGCTTCGACTCGGTCTTTCAGAGCCTTGAAGGTCTGCTCCTGAAACGCGGCGACCTTCTCGAGTTGACCGTTGAAAATCTCGTCGCAGAAGCGGTTCTCATCGTCCTCTGTCCACGCAACATCTTCGTCATCGTACTTGTCTTCCCGCAGAAGCGACTTGAGCTTCGCGTAGTCGATGTACTTGTCCTTCCATGGCGCGTACACGGCCAACCGCAGTGTCTTCCCAAAGCGCATCGCGACGGTTGGTGGTAGATAGGGTTCGAGGTTGGGATAGACGGGAGTGTCGCTTCAGTCGCTTCGATACGGGCTATCGGAAGTCGAGTATGCTTTTGATCCCCAAGGATGACAGAGGTGTGAGCTGGGAAGTCTGGTCGTGAAAAATCTCGATCGAGTTGGTCGAAGGGGTAGGTCGTGACTAGGAAAAAAAACAAGCTTCAGGTTCGGGTGTAACGAGGCAACGCTGGTTGATGTGGCTGGCGCGCGACAGGGGATATCGAACGAAACCCTCGTCTTTTTCTTCCTTGCTTCGGTCCTAATTCTTCCTGCTCTTCCCGTCAGGCGAATTTCTGTCGTCTAGTTCAAGCGCAGAAGTGGGAATGATCACCAGTCTAACCAGAGAAAAAGAGGTAAGGTCGTGGGTGACAGTTGAAGAAGATGGTGTTTGGCACCTGCAAGAAGGCGAAGCTTGGCCTGTGTTGCTCGCGCGGCCCCACCACTCTCCCGTCCCAGCACCGCAAAGTTCCACAGTCCCGTTACGTAGCGCCGCAGCCATTGTCCTATCAACAGCTACACTCAGAGGCACGTGTGTTCGCTACAGATGTAGCTTTGCAGCTACGAAACCCATCCGGTGGGGCGCCTTCGATTGATGCCGAAGGTATGCGAATTATTACCTCGCATATGGCCGCATCGGCAGGAATACTCCGCTTTAAATCACTTTATGACATGGGGTATTGCAGAATGTGAAATCATCGTATAAACTATTTCGTTTTTACTCATGAAAGAATGGCTATTCTCATTATCCCTTCAACTCCTGTTACAGCCCTTCCAGTTAAAATTCAAGTTCCGTTACTGCAGGCCGTAAATGCCCCTTCACCCAATTCCCGAGGTCGTCTAATCGTTTCACACCACAAAACCCATTCCCAAAACACTTCAGTTGTTGAGCCACTGGTCGAGGGCAGCATCAACCTGCTTCCGGTACTCCTGTTGCGTCTTGCATTGATCCAGGAACACCTTGTACTTGGCATCGAACAAGAACTTCTCGCCCTTGAGTGTGCCTGGCTTCACGAGGCGGCCAGGCTTGCTCATACGGTCCATGATGGACCACAGGTTCTCCGTTGTGCCATCCTCAGTCGCGGTCGCCGCTTTGGCGCCCAGCATGGCAGCACCGTGAACAACGGCCGCGTTGGTGTACTTGGGTACCAAGACAGGCATGTCGCAGATGGTAGCCATCAAGTCCATTAACAGTGGGTTCTGGCACTGACTGCCGGACATGAAGATCGTGTTAAGCTCGTGTCCGGACGTGTTCATCGCCTCAACAATCTGTCGAGTCTGCATGGCGATGAACTCCATCGTGCCGTAGTACCACAACGCCAGGTTGTCTGTGGTCTTGTCGCTGCTCAAGCCAACCACGGCACCCTTCATGTTCGGGTCTGCGACTGGTGATCTGTTACCCCACAGGTCACCGTATAGGAAGAAGTGACGGCCCAGGTATGAGATTGACGGGGCACCGCTCTTCTCACGCATGTATTCCAAGTGGGAGTTCAGGAACTCGTAAATGTTCTTCGACTCGGCCGTGGCAAGCGCGTTCGTTTCGATAAAGGCAGGGTGGATTTCGAGAATGTGTCGAAGGAGCTCGCCGGTGGCAGACTGGCCACCTTCGGCCATCCAGAACTCAGGAAGCAAGACGTCTCGGTATGGGCCCCAAACGCCAGGCACGAACACTGCCTCTCTGGACATGGCCAAGTGGCACGTCGATGTACCGGCAACCGCCGCGAGTCTGTGGAAGGCTTGGGAAAGGTCGTTCTTGGGCTGGTCCGCCTCGAGATGGCCTGGCGGAAGTTCGACCTTGGCGCCGACAGTACCAATCCAGCCGGCGTAGGCGTCAATAACGCCGCCACCAACGGCGATACCCTCGGGAAGGCCGAGCTCTGCCGCGGCCTTCTTGCAAAGACCACCCACGAGCTCGCCAGCGCTCTGATATTTTCCATTCTGTGAAAAACCAAGTCAGTCAATTGCACTTTTGTCTCGACGCTGAAGCAATAGAGGAGAAGGGTTCGAATGAAAAAGGCTCACCACCCCGTTGACACCACCCATACGCTTGAAGTTGTCCTCAACAAGGTCTTCGAGCCCAATTGTCGCCAGGAAGTCATCCTGCCAGCCCTTGACACTGCCGTCAACACCGACAGGAACGTAGCCCTGCTTGCAGACGGTGCTGCAGAAACTCCGCGTCTCGTTGCCAGTGGCCATGTGCGTGAGCGCATCAGCAAGGTCGTAGAACTTGCAGCGGTCAAAGAGCTCCTTGGGCATGTTGTTCTTGAGCCACAGGACCTTGGGAATTTCCATCTCGATGCTCATGGTTCCGCCAACGTACTTGAGCAGGTTGTGCTTCGTGGCGTTGATCTTCTCCGTCTCCTCGACAGGGCGGTGGTCCAGCCAGAGAATAACATTGCGGTCGTTACCATCGGCATTGTCAAAATCGGGGCCGGTGACGGCGACGGGCTCGTCGGTATCGTGGCTGAAGACGGCGAGGGAGCAGGTTGCGTCGAAACCGATGCCCTTGATAATATCAGGGTCCACCTTGGACTCGACGAGGACTTGCTTCACGCAGTGGCAGATGCATGCCCAAATATCTGAAGTGGATTGTTCCTTCCGGAAAGGTCAGCTGAGCTCAACTCCTCGGGGGGATTGACCGCCAAAGTGATGAAGAGAAGGCGAGGCTCTGAAGTGACTTACATAATATCCGGTCTCAGGCTGCCACAGCTTGATGGGCTCGCTAGCAAGGCCCTTGATGTCGCCAGTCTCGTCAATGATGCAAGCTCTGGCCGAACCAGTGCCGACATCGATGCCGATGTAGTGGTCCTGGTAAAACACTTCGAGTCAATGGTCTGGTCTCTGAAAATCAAGGAACGGAGCTCCGTTCCGGTCGAACTTACCAGAGGTTGGGGAGGTGCGGTGGATTGGACCCTAGAGGTAGACTGTTAGCTCTTAGATACATCGTGAGGCTTTGGGCCAGCTCGATTGCTCGGTCACAGGCAGGTAGGCAACTGGCTGGAACAGTGGCTTGAACTTACTCCATTGTGCAGACCGAGGGTGATTACGAATAGTAAGGTCCTATTCGCGGGCAGGAGAAGATCGTGTGATTTCTTTGGCAGTCTGTGGTAGGGAGTAGGGAGGGAAGGCAGACAAGGCGTGAAAGTGTAGAGCTTCTTGGGCAAAGGCGGTTTTGTTGATCAACAAAAAAGGCGACGGGAGCTCTTCCTTAAAAGAGCACCACAATACGACCAGGACGGGGGACGGTCTGATTCACTGGAAAAAGTCAGGTTCAATCCAGACCTCCATCATCGGCACACACCCTTATTTTTTCGTCCCTTCTTCCTGCGACGAAAGGGAGGGGACGGGAGCTTGGTGCTTGCCTGCTTTACCTTACCTTACTACTGCGTAGATGGCGGTTCTTCCACCGTAAGGTACGGTAGCTAGTGTTGCGCCTACTGCGTAGGACCTGGACCCCTTTTGCCCCTCCAAGTGGGGTAAAGGTGAGGTGAGAGCAGTTAGGTACGTACAAGAGCTACCCTGCCTTGCAGGTACTTGCTGCCAGATGGGCAGTACATGATGCAAGACAGGGCCAACCAGCCCCTCGGATGGCAAAAAAAAAAAATGACACAGCAAAAAGGAAAGAAGCCATAAGCATGTCCCGTTGGGATCCGCGTGCCACCTGTGGTGTAAGAGCTGCAGTTCCAAGCGCTAGGTATTCCCCCCGGGGAGGTTCCAAGCTGGGACTACCCTCGGGACGGGGGCAACACCGAGGGCATGGAGGGGTGGAGGGGCAAAAAATCCACTGTAAGCCGACATCCGCACCACCCCCCAGTGGCCCCCCGCGCCCATCAAGAATTAGAATCTTGGGGGTTGCATGGGGGCGGCAAGGGTGGCCTTTTGGGACATGGTACACTATCTGTAAGGTAATAGTGTGGACTGGTAGAAAACAAGATGGCCAAGCCCACCTGACAATCTCGTTCCATATTAGGAACCTCAAGCAGCAGTCCAGAGCTGGCGGGGAAAAGCAGAGTGGCAGATTGGCAGCAAACCATGCAACCATGCAGGAAGGTGATGGGATGGATGCTCGGGGAAGATGTTGGAAAAGCCGGGAGGGTCCCTGAGGAAGGAGATGGCCCAAAGGGTTCCAGAAGCCCAACCACTCGATTCCAGACTCCCAGAGCCACAGGGTCTGCAAGCCTCGTGTTTTCCAAAGTCTCCGGACTGGGCAGCTTGGAAACCTCAACACCAGCTTTGTTGATCTTCTACCGTCTGACGTCTACCGTTCTGGTTCTGATACTTCTCCCACCTGATGTGTGACACAAAGAGCCCAGATTAGACATGACTAATTTGGCTGCAAGACTGACTTTGCTGCCCGCATAAAACCACCAGTCCCCGTTATGACATATTCACCATTCCAAAATTCCAACAAAAGAGAATAGAATTACTTCAAGTATTGATCAACTACGTGTGATCTCGAGATCTTGAAGATGCCATCAGTGAGGCTTCCCTCCCTCTGTATTAATAGTCGCCTAGAACTAGGTAACATCCCACTGTCTCCTGTCAAACTCTATGGTGGTTGGGACTAGAACTGGTAGCGTCGCCGGCGAATCCTTTCTCAACCTAACGAGTCTATATAAACGGTACGATGGAGTCATCTTAAACACGATGACGAACCACGGGAAAAGAGGAGAAACACCTTTGTCTCAGCCACCGTGCCACCCTACCCCCGAACCAAAAAAGACACGAGGCCCGGCAAGCCCCCCAAAACGGTGGGCCGGGGCACTCATCCCGCCCCCGGGTCACCGGCCAACTCCCAACTCGTTCCCCCCGCTCCCCTGGGGCCTTGTGGCAATCAACAGGAATCCTCCCCCGGCCGTGCCTTCCTCAACACCATCTCTACCGTAAGGCTACCGTTTCCCGCCCGCGCCCGCTTCGCCCGCCGCTTCATCCTTTTGCGGTGCCGAAACCAAAAGAAAAAACCCAACGCCATCAATGATCAAACCACCCTTCGCACCCACCCCTCCTCCCTTCCTTTTTTTTCTTCTCCATCTTTCCCGTATTCATGCGACCCAATCACTGCCCAACAACCCGCCTCAGAGTTTGTGTACTTTCTTCCTCACCATGGATTTCCCAAACGTAGCCCGAATCAGCTCTAGCCCGCCACATTCACCGGAATACTCTCAAACCAGAATGCTCCCAAAAACTTGTAAGCAATTGTCGAATCAGACATAAGCTGGACAGGGATGCGACAGATAGGCCACCCTCTAGCGCAGAGTCAAGACTGTGGACTGTGGGGAGTGTGGAAACGAACGTGTCTGCTGCTCTCCCCCAGGACATGGATCATAAGAGCTACTGTGGAGTAAACTCACACAAGGGAAATCATAAGCGGAACACCTTTTCGATGCACCACAATCTCAAGATTTGTTTAGGGTAACATTCCTCTATTCCGCTTGCTACCTAACCATACCTGTCAGGGCTGCATAATGACCACCGCCGTACTGGGTATTTCGTTTGTTAATAAACTCCATATTTCGGCAGCACGATAGCACACCGAGAAAGAAAAATCTCTGCATGCCGTGTGAACACCCGACCAGGCCGCCCCTGATGCTTCGCTGTCACCTGTACGGTGTTGCGGTGTGTTCGGCTTTCGTCTTGCCTGACTTTCTTCCCCTGTTCTGGGCTGATGACCACACCGTCTTTGCTGATGCGGCCTAGCCTTGCCAAGCAGGTGAACCAACTGCGATATCGAAGATGGTCTGCCGATCTTTTGCCCGGCAACTCCGAACAACGGAGCCTCACCACACTTCTTTTGTGTCCGCTTTCCGTTGTTCCGTCCGTGCCGATCCCCAACGATCGGCTCTCTTGCTGGACCGGACCCCATTAAATATTGCTTTTTTGTGTCCTCCATGGGCGCGTTGGCAATCCTGTCGCATACACGACTGTGTCGCCTCACCGCCATAGGATAATATGCTCCATGACAGGCTGATGGGCGTGACTCGGCAATGCGTGATGATTGTCGATGAGGCGTCCTGCAGGTGAAGATGCAGCAAATGCCGTTGATAGCTTTTGCAGATATATCCGAGTGCTTTGCATGATGTTGGCAGGCGTCTTGAAGAGTTTCCGCGTGTCGACTGTTCAGCTCTCAGTAGTCAAGTTCCGCCTTGGGCCATTTGACGGTATCTTTGTCTTTGTCCTTCTTCATCTTTCCGCGAAACGGTTTTTGGTCACCCTGAAACCATGGTTAGCCCCTGCCGACACTGCGAAAAGAGTTGCATCCCGGCTTACCTCTGCTTTGCGCTTCTTGCCGTGCGATGGCTCAGGCGCTCTCTTCGTATAGACTGGTGTGCTTTCGCGTGCTTGTGTCGCTTCCGAATGACAGCTAAAGTGATATGCTCGATTGCCGACCAACGTAGTATCCAGCCACACCCATTCTTGAGCAGTCTCAAGCCACTTGTTCTCAAATTTCTCTTGGCAGATAGGACATTTGCTATTGATCCCGCTGGATGCATCTGGCACAGGAATATATCGAGGCTTGACCTCCTTCTTCCCTCGGCCGGGACTAGACGAAGACTTGTCCGCAGCCGCAACGTGGTCGACATCAATGGCCTCTCGGGACTTGACCCAGTCCTGTATGATGTTAGGCTATTCCAAAGGTTTATAAGGGGCTGGTGGTGACTCACATTGTTATCGACATACCAGCTTCGGTGCTGGCCTCTTTTCTCTGCTTCTGCGAGTCGTTGGTGTGCCTTGAAGTGCCAATCCATATGCGCCATCTTCTTCTTCCTACCCTCATCATCCGTCTTGAAACGTCTACCACATTGGGTGCATTGAGGACCCAACTGCTCAAAGAGAGACGGGATTAAGTGAGGTTGGAATCTGGAAAGGATTAGCATTCGTGCTTCCGGTAAGATTCCGAGATAAACTGACTGTTGTTTCAAAGCCGCCGCATCAAGCTGGTTGCCGCTCATACCCCCAAGCGGAGGAATTGGCGGCAGTTGGCCGGAAGCCAGCAAGCTTGCAATGTTAGGGGGCAAGAATCCGGGAGGCATCATAGGCATCCCTGGAGGGGGCACTGGTGCTGGGGCTGCTGGCGTCGGTGTTGCGCTTGGAGCTGCTCCCCGAAGGATTCCGGCTTGCCGTAAGCCGGCCAGCAACGCCATAGGATCTGTTGCCGGCGGCGCACTGGGCTGTCTTTGCGGCTCGGCCCTCTGTGGGGGAGGAGACCGGATCGCCATGCTGGCATGAGGAGGGGGCGGCGGCGTTGAAAGCTGTGGCGTGGCTGACTGCCGTGACAACAGAGCAGCAAGAGCTCCTTGGCCCAAGAGGGCATCAAGCGTCACTCCAGCTTGCTGCGGAGGCAGGCCAGATGGTACTACAGGCGCCGCAGGTGGCGGCGGTGGATGGTGAGGGACAGTTGTAGCAGTAGGGGTTGAGCTCTGGGCCGAGAACGGCCTCACTTTTACGGCAAGATCGGCTACTTGATTCTTAATGAGGACCAACTGGTCCTGGGGCAAGTTCTGATGTTGAAGCAAGCTCTGCACATCCAACAACGCCTTGAGTCTTTGTTGAATACTATGATCATGGGGGTTCTGTGCAAACTCCAACTTCGACGCATCGATCAACTTCTGGATATCTTGACCCAGAGAGTCTTTGTTTATCCCAGCAGCCTGAGGTCCTGAGAGTCCGGCTCCGTATGGCACCTGCGGAGGGGGTTGGTAGGGACCAGGAGCTGCCGAAGGTTGAGCACTGTATGATGGCGGAGGAGGCTGTAAGGTCTGTCAGTGTGTGATATCAAGTGCTAAATGGTAGAATGGACGTACGGCATAAGGAGCCATCTGCGGATGGTGTGGAAGCGGCGCACTCGGAGGTCGGTTGCCATTCGCTTGTGGCATGGGTGGAGGTTGACCGTATGGCATCGGCTGGTTCGAGCCAGGTCGCATACCCGGCGGTGTTGGTGTTTCGCGATACGGTGCAGCAGCTGGTCGGCCGCGACCTGCTGGTCGTCCTTGCTGAGCCTGAAGCGCGGATGTGCGAGCCTTGATGAGGGCGCTCTCAATAGGTGCCGTCACTTCTGACGCAAAGACTGGACGCTTGTCCAGAGATCCAGGAACAGGCTCCTTCCAGGTGCGGAGCATTTCATCCATCTTGCGGCGAACCTGGCCATCAACAGCCGCGTATGCTTCCATAAACGTCTGGTATAGCTTTGCTCCGAAGAATAACGTGTACGGAGTGCCGACATTCTTGACAATCGAATCGAGGACGTAGAGGGCTGGGAGCTTCTTGTGCGCTGGCGCCTGTCAAACATGTCAGCATGGATCGTTACTTTGGGGAAAGGGAGCTTCGTGACTTCCCAAGCTGCGCTTGAGAAGGACTTGGCAGACAACGCGGGCCGTTGCCGGAAAGCTGAAGGATAGAGCCTACCTTCAAGATATGGTCCTGCAAGACTTCAGAGATGACTTGGGCATGCTCGGTCTGCTCTCTTGCAATCATCGTCAGATTGCTAATTTCGAATCGCACATTGGTAGTCAAGTCTTCAAGAGCTTGACGATAGTCCTCAGCGACTTCTGTGGCGGATGACTCGTACGACATGATTGTGGTTATTCCTGGGTAGCGATATCCTTGATGATGAATGTTTGTCTGTCAAGAGCACGCGATGGCGAGCGAGATCTGCAGGAAAGTGAGAACGCAATGGCAGCGGGGAAGATTCAGATCGACCTCGAAGTCAAGCGCCTTCACCCTATGCAATGGAAAGCACAATAAACCACCCTTATTATGGAGGAGCACCAGTCTGCAGCTTGGAAGGAGAGACGACGCAAGTAACCTAAAGTGGAAGGGGCCGATTTGCAGATTCCAATTCTCGCGTCCAGACCCTCTTTCTGCTCAAGTCCTCCCACCAAAAGCTAACCAAATCCAAGCAGAGAGCAAGGACACCGTCACAACATTATCCAGTGGATGGTTTTCGCGTCCGCTTGAAGAATGCGATGGGACCTTCGTAGATATTGACGGTCGCCAAACGTACGGAGAACGTCGCGAGAATGGCGAAGACAAAGAGCAAAATGGGAGTGGAAGTGGCAGTTGGGTAGTCACGATTTGGTCGCAGCGAGACGAGTCAATGAAAAGAAAAGCCTTGACCGATTTCAGATCAAGTCGAATCAGATCCTTGCCGGGGGCGATGTCGGTCGCGAGTTGTCGTTGTGTTTGATGGAAGAATGCTCAATCTGCAGCAAGTCTGGCGGAGAGGAATTTGATGTCGGGTCGTGAGGCTAATGGAGGTAGGTAGGAAGTGACAGTGAAAGGCAATGACGGACCCACTTGAGCTCACGTGCCTTGGGCTACCAAGCAGGGAAATAATAGGAACCTGGAAGGTGCGAGTCGCACAGGTTCGCTGACCTCATCCGGTGTTTTCCTTATCTTATCTCATCTCGGCTCACCCATCACTCCCAGCTCTCAGTACCTACCACAAGGTAGGTAAGAACGGCAAGGCAAGGTATCTTATGTCGTTGTGTAGATTCTTTCTATCGACCTGGAAGACGTGAATCGCCTACAATAACAACATCGCCTAATTGTCAAGAATTGGGAAAAGAAATGAAATATGAAGATAAAATGATCTCGGTAAATCGACGAAGTCCTGTACAATTACCTATTTTCTCTACACAAGTATGGGGTATCTACTCTGGACACTTGCTATTGAGATACAAACACGCAGCTCGGGGGAAATAGTGCCTCTTAAGTTATTTAATCAACCGATGAGTCTGCCTGAGCCTAATATCACAGCATAGGATGTTCAGTGAATGAACGCCTCCAAGATTCCATTTATACTTCTCTTCACACATCGGGGGCCCTGCCCAAACTGTGTAGTTTCCCTTGCGGTCGAACTAGAAGCAAGAAACTTGAGATATAGACTTGATAGCCAGAAGTGCAGGAGATATGAAGTGGGCTCTTCTTTTACAAGTCGGCAACTCGCAAAGAATTTCGGTACAGGGCCTCTCCTCAATTAGGCTGATAATTGAGGCAAACTACGTCAGAGCAAAATAGGCAAGGTCAAGCATGAAGACTCTGGCGCAAGAATAATGAAGTACCGGACGAAGAGCGAGCACTGTCAGCACTTCCGATTTCTATTCACGAAGCTGATACCCTGGGAATTGATATTTGACGCCAGCACTGCCACGGTGATGTGGCCGTGGCCACATCGTACAAGACTGGCGGCTGGGGGGTTCCGCTAAATCGGACAGATAGACGCCGCGGGATGCGGCTCAAATGGTTGAACCAGGAATTTAACAGAGCCCTGTATTTAGAATAGCTCTATATTCTGGCGGCAATTTCTTCTTTTTTGGCGCGCGTAAACATTGTCGTCCTCGTAAGATACTCTCAAATGTGGTCTAGAGGGTGGAGACCACGCTTACGACCTCACTTACAGGCGGCATCAGAAATGAGGTGGTACGCGGACGGGCGCTTAATCCCAAGCGACCCTCTTGACGGGCCACAGTCGTCATAAATAACTCGGAAATCGAATACGGGCCCCGTCCGATGCACCGGAAGCTGTCGGGGGCACGGCCGCCCTGCAATCTGTAGATGCACGCCTCTTGTCCAGTCTTTTGGTTTCACGATCAGGTTTCATTACCATCTGGCGATACCGCTTGTAAGTGATCATGGCGCGATGGAAAGCCTTCAGCCGCCTACCTCAGACGGACGCACGAAGAGCTATGATCGCAGCCAATCGCTGTCTTTGAGGATGGCTCAGGTCAGCTTTCCCAGACAATGTTGATCTGAGGATTTGTTATTCAGCTGGTCTGACATATCTACTTTAGCTTGTACTTGAAAATGGGCATATGCCTCGGGATGTTCTTCAATAATCGGAGAGAAACATAGCCGAACGACCAAGGCTTGGAGACCCAAGCTGCGGTTAGTTGCACATTACTCACTCGCGTGGAATCACAAGGCGGAATCACATTGGATATCAGTGATTATACAGAGCGTTCGCTGGTAAAATCGGATTTCATGGAGTATAAAAGACTTATGCTCTATCGGTATGACGGTGGGGACTCCGTACCGGAGGTTTGGGGCTCGCCCGTGCTGCGAAATCGCACTCGGAAGAGCCAGCTACGGGCCTACGGCCTTCAAGTCTTCACTGCCGCAGGGTGGGACGCAAGTTCAGGTACCTTGCGTTGCCGCTCACACTGGAATTGGCCCATGAAGCCCAACTCTGCACAGCGAATCGGTACTTATGGCGCCTGCAGGGGTACGCCCAGCGGACATGTGTGCCTGGCATTTCGGCCGGCGGCTGTCTTTGCTAAACTCGCATGAAACAACGTCTGGTCGCCCGTCATCCAATCAATCCGGCATCGCGCCCGAGAACTGAGAAGTTGCCATGTCCCTTCCACTCTCGACTGTTCACTTTGTTTGTAACCCTGAGCAAACCTCCCCCGTCTACCATACCATAGACATCCCTACCTCGGATCCCGTCTGGACCTCTCAATGCTTGAATATTCGCCTCCTGCTCCGCCAACTTTGTACTTTTGCCGCCCTCCCATAGGTTCGTTGCGCCTGAATTGCTTGCCCTCTACTTGAACAAGCTGCAGCAGTTCGACTTTCAGCGCACGATTGGATGAAAGCGGCCCACGGCATGTTCATGCCACCCATGTCTGTCATGGTCTCTGCCCTCTAGACCCTCCGTCGTCTCGTCTTTTGCACTTTGCCGAGCTGAGTGTCACGGGTGTATCTTCTTCGACGATCTGGCGAGCGCCACAGGTTATCAGCAGCTCCATGATGAAGATGGTGTCACTCTCACGCAGCGAGGCCACCGCTGCCCGACCCATACCGTGACAACGAGAGAATGACCGACAGACAAAGCTGTTAGCTGCTCTGGGCTGCGCGTGCTCGATCAGGGGTCTCATTGAAACCACGTCTGGTTGCCGCATGGCGTCGTCTGGAACCTCAACCGCAGGAAGCACACAGCACCTCGTCCCGCTATCACGCTCTCGAGTCCACCATCTGCGTCTTTCCATGATCCCGTCCTCTATCCCGCATATCCCATTTACCCACACCCCAGTATCCTAGTTCTCATACCGCCCGGGACGTCGAGGGATCGTCCAAGCCGTTCGTGAGAGAACCCATGAACGCTCCATCGTCTCCCCTCCATCCCCCACCCCCCATGCTGAGTCTCCGCCGATGCATCCCGGCCCTGATAGCCCTCTGGCGCTGCTAGAATGATTGGTTGCTGGTTGCGCGAAACTTTTGGCTGTGATTCGAAACGGCGAATGGAGAGGGCCACCGGGCAGGCTCCCTTTGGTCAAATTGGACCTGACTTTCTTCTTGCCTCGTCGCTGGGATGACAAAATCCCAGGTGACGTGCAGGAAGACAAGGAATAAGGGCACTGCTCGGAGCAAGGTACGGAGTTACTTACCTATCTTTACTTCAGGTGCTTTGCATTACTTTTCACCCCATGTTTCGTTAAGCTCAGGTCGTGGGACAAGAATCCATAGTCAATCAGGGTCCTGTCTGTATTAAAGGAGAAGGAGCTCCCGTCCCTCCTTCCTTTGACGTCGAACCTACCCACCGGTCCTTTCTGGCAGGAGCTCCCTTCCCTCTTTCCCCATCGAACAGCCTTGAACAGATTCTGTTCTTGGGCATCTACTAATCCTGTTCGCCTACAATCTTTCCCTCCTCATACTCTCGTCGCCTTGTCTCCTTCCTTTGTGAAGACATCAACACTTTCTCTATAACGCCAACTCCCCTGGACTGGTTTCCGGGAATATTTCCTACTCGTCTCTAATCGTACCCTCGCGCTCGATACTCTACCATCGAATCACCAGTCGCTTGGATTACCTCGTCAGCTTGGACTGACCGAAATTTTGCTACGGACCTCATCGCTACCGAGCTCACCACCAGCCGCTATTCACTCAATACTCTCCTTACTTGTATGGTGGTTCGCCCTTGGTCGATCTCGGACTCGTCACTAATGCTACCCCAGGACCTCGATACTCTTCACCAGAGCTACCGAGTACTCAAACACATACGGCTGCCTCGAAAAACCGAAAACGTCGCAACTGCTGTTCTCTAACTACAATCAAAAAATGTTCAACCTCTCTGAAAACTCCAGCCTTCGTGGCTCAGGTCACTTGATCCTCAACGTCTTCCGAGCGTTCAATATCATCGGCCTCTTGGCTGTCAGCGCCGCCACCTGGACCATGATCGTTATGTCCATTCTCAAGGGCAACTTTGCCTTCTTCGATTCGGCCTCCCGCTTCTTCACCTTCTGCTTCGCCATTTTCCTCATTGTCTCCGAGCTAAACGTCTTCCGCGCCTACTTCATGCGCAACTGGCCGACCCTCTCCCCCGAGCATGGCCTCAGCTGGCTGGGAATCGCCATGGTCGTCATGGGCTGCCACATTCTTGGGGGTATCACGGTGCCCGCCTACTCTGTTGAGACTATTGGTCTTCCTCTCTGGCGTCTCATCCTCGCCTCGGGCATTCTGGCCATCACCTTTGGTTTCTTCAACATCATCTCGTCCATTGTCTTCCGGGATGGCAGCAACGGCATCAACGCCCGCAACATTCGCAGTGACGGCACCCTTGCCTCCGGCAAGAACTCGTACGCTGACGGATACTCTGTCAGAAGCAACTCGATTCGCAACGAGAAGCCAAACAACAAGTTCAAGCGCCTCACGCAGAAGTTCACTCCTTGGAGCAAAACCAACGACGATACCAGCCCTCGTCCCAACATCAGCCACCCTATCGCTCACGATGTCGAACAGGGCCACGAATCAGAGCCTGACTACGATGAATCCCGCCGCAGCCCCATCATGCCCGATATCTCTCGTCCGGCTACTGCTCTGCACCCCGCCATGGCTGGCCACCGTCATACCAAATACAGCCTGGCCAGCAACGTGAGCCGCTTCTAAAGAGTGGCGGATGTTGCTCGCGCACGACATTCTTCTATGTCTCGATGAGATTGGAATCAACGGACTTCACAGCAGCCTTGGTATTACAGAATATACATCCCTATTAGGCAGGGTGGAACGGCGTTTCACGGATGATTTAGTTTGGCTTTGAAAAAATACCCGACACGACGGCACGGTGTACGGCGAGGAACATGAGATTTAGGAATCTTTCTTCACTGATCATGACCAGCAATCGATTATCAGGCATTAAACAGAAGTAGATGCACGATTGAGGGATCAGTCATAATTATAAAGCTTTGTTATCAATTCCGTCTTGACCATACGCCGTAATAATGAGAAACACTGCCCTTTCAGGTGTCTGATGGGGAGTCTATGTAGGAGCATCGCAAGCCTAGGGGATGTAAGAATTGAGGTCGTGGGCTTTGAGAGAGGGACCTGAGGGAATCATCACACGATGGTCTCCGCAGTCGTATCCATTTCGAATCGCTACCAGTCCCCACACCGTCGAAACCCTGGTTGAAATTTTCAGTACAGAAAATGCAGTTGAAAGGGGCAACAGTTCACTGTGTAAGTTGCACATTGAGTTGTAGTATTCGCCTTGTACACATTATGGCAGGACAGAAATAATATCAATGATGGTGGGAGAAGCATCCTCTTTGCACGGATGTGATTTAGACACAAGAACAGAACGAAATCGCACGTAGCACTAGGATCGGGGAGAGGAGACAACTTTTGTTCAAGTGTATCACATTGAAATCACATAATTCATCATTTGTACGCCGAGCCCTCCAAGTTTTTTTCAAGTTAAGAACCTCGAAAAAGTTGTGTTCCATTTTTCGTATCGATTGAGCCTTTTTGACCTCTGGGACTCAAGCCAGAGGAAGAAGAACACTCCAGCGCATGATATCAAGTGCTTTCCCAAGTCGTGAAAGTAGTGGCCAAATCCCGAATACCTTCCATGATGATGATGATCCACCGCCGTCGTCGTGTCCTCCGCGAACACCACACCTGGCAGCCGAAGCCGTACTCGTAGTAAGACAGTCGTGGTACGCGAGCGGCCCGGTAGCCTTTTCAGAATCGTCCAGTGCGAGTGGGCGAAACCGTTTACCGGTAGCGCCACAGGGACAGGGTGTTGTGGCGCTTCCAGGTCTTTCTGCGGCCGGCCTGGGTCTTGTTGTAGCGGTGGCCCTTGTTGAGGCCGCGCGACTTCTTGCCGGTGGCGGTGAGACCGCGAGCCTCGCGGTGCTTGTGGACGGGGGCGACGATCCAGTTGATGCGGGGGTCCTGGCGGATGGCCTTGTGCTGGGGGTCGACGAGGATGACCTCGTAGTACTTGTAGGTGGAGTCCTGGTTAACCCAGTACGAGTTGAGGACGCGCAAGTTGGCGCAGCGGCGGCCGACACGCTCCTCGGCGGTGGAGGCGAGGGAGCGCTGGTACTTGAGCTGGTTGACACCCTGGTTGGTGGGCTTGCCTGTATGATTCCATTCCCGTTAGCAAATTCGTCCCTCTCGCTGGTAAGAGTGTCGTATGAGGGGGAACCAGCTCGGTCCTCAAGAGACGCAGACTGTTTCCCTCTCGTCAAGGATTCGCAACGTACCGAAGGTGGCACCCTTGGCGACGGGCTTCTTGCGGCCTCCACGGCGGACGCGGGCACGGTAGATAACGTAGCCCTGCTTGGCCTTGTAACCGAGGCGGCGAGCCTTGTCGGGGCGCGAGGGACGCGAGGCGCGGTGGATGACATTCAGCTGTCGGAGCTATATTGATGCACTCTCAGCAAATGTTCAACGAGTGTATAGCAGGAACGCAAAGTTTTCCCCCCAAGTCTCCACTAGTCCCTCATGATACCCTCAAACCGAGAAATTTTGGACCTCGAGACCCCTCAATAGAAAGGAATCCAGCATCGAAAATTTTCGGGTTCGGGGGTTGATCGAGAGAGAAGCGAGATCGAGGAGAATTGAACTTTGTCGTGCGTCCACATGGTATCGGAATCGGGTGGTTTCAACGTACTTCCCAGCAGCGAACACGCAGAAGGAAGCGCATCACATCGGACTGCTTCTTCTTCTGGAGCTCTTCGACATACTTGAGGGCACCCATTTTGACTGCGGCGACGGCGTCAGGTTAGCCTCTTCGGTTTTGGCAGATGTGGTGATGATTGAGAAAAGAAGAGAGCGACAAAGGTTATCGAAGAAAAGGAACGGGGGGAGGGGGGACAAACCAGCTGTTCACGTAAAATCCGGCTGCCGAGGTTTTGGTGGTGGTGTTGATGAATTGGACGACAATTGAGAAATGTTCGAGTGGAAGGGGAAAAATCGAGGAAGGGTAGAGTTTGTGCGGTCGTACTAGTCCTAAGACGGCTAGCGCAGCTGGGGCTGGGCTTGCCCCGAACCTAATTATGGGGCTCGCGTCTCGGTGTGTGGCATTCCCTCGGTGAAGTGAGCTCGGTGTGCTTAGGCGTAGAGATGGAAGGATTTCTTCTAACAGGCACGTTTAGGGAAACTGTGGGACCAGTATGATTCTTCGCAGCCATGAACGGCCTATCAGTGAGACTTTGACTACCTCATAAACTGATGATCATTTCGATTGCGACTTACACGCTCGTCGCCAGTCGGTGCAGATTTCATTTCTAAAGTCTACCCTCCCTACCATTTCACAAAATCTGGGAAGGGTCTAGACGGAGAACGACAAATGAGTTTGCAATGTCTCCGTCATATTCAATGGAAAACTCCAAGTGACTTGCAGCGACGTGGTGATGAATGACTTTCAGACTATCAGGCCGTCTCGTCTACCCTACCTTGCGGTTACATTCTTTCATCCAGCCCTTGTCCGAACCTTTCAGGCTTCCACCTCTTCTCTACACGCACTCTTATTAGAATTCCCAATCTCAAAATATGTTCCAAAACTCTGGGCTCTGAAGCTTACGCTCGAAATTAGCGTCGATGGTCTTATCACGTTCCAGGCAGATGCCATAGGAAGTTCCTCCAAGTCATCGATAGAGATGGCCCTTGAGAGACAGGCAGTGAGGGACGGATACGTCACAGACACATTAGAATATAAAGGCATTGAATTTCTGGCCCTCATATTCTCAAATACTTAAAAGTCGACGGAAAAGCAAAATTTTTCGTACAAGAATCCGACATTGGCCCATTACCCAGAAACACAAGTCCCTTTTTTTTTTTAGTCTCGGGTTACACCATGCTTGTGTGGAAAAAAAGTAAAAAACAAGTCTCTCTGTCTATGACGGTAGTGCCCTGAGTAGTAGTGAAAGTCTCTCAATCTCCTCTTGAATCTCTCATTCATCATGAATTGGGGGTTGTGCTGGTGGGAAATTAGGCCGTAATTGCAAAGTCTCGAAACAAGCCTGTAGAGTAAAAGTGAAAATGAAGGTGTTTGGGGATCCAGCATGTCTTCCCATTTTTTCGTCCTTTATGTCTTCTTTTTTCTGTCCGAAAGAAGCACAAAGGTCCCGCCAGTTTTTGGCAATTTAAAAACAAAAAGTTTGAAGCCGTCCAACTCCGACAGTGAGAAGAGGAAATAAAAAAAAGTGTTGCCAGACTCTGCAGCCCAGGCTATGCTTACAATGCCACAACCATGCCAATCGTAAAAACGTACGATAAGCCGCTGGGCCGACAGTTGGTAAGAATTCGCCGAACGACGAACGGATATGGAATGCCCGTTGAGAAGGTCGAGTTCGCGGTGGAACATGAGGAACCAATATCGTGGCCGTTTCCAACGTCAGGCGCCTGTATCATCAGCGACTGTTCAAGGAAAGGCCCTGAAATGCGGTAGCCCATTCACTCTGAGTGTTCATCGGGCCCACACCTGACTCATGCGGGCCAGGTCCGTCTGTTCCCGGCTGGAAGCGGGATCGCATCTGATAGTCAGCTGCGCCAGGGAAGCTGTAGCTATCGAGCGACGGAACAACACCAGGGACGTAGGGCATGTTTCCAGGCCTGGGCGCAGTGCCCATGCCGCCCATGTGCGAATAGGGATAATTCGGTTGACCGTAGCCACCGGCCGGACCTCCAGGCCTTTCACCAAACGGCGGGGTGAATGAGTTCTGGAATCCACGGCCAGGTGGACCTGAACCACCGAATCCTCCCGAGTGCTGTTCCTGGTTCTGCTGCTGTTGCTGCTGCGCGGAGCGTCGCTCGGAATTGTTCGATCCACCGCGACCCACGCCAACCGCTCCGGGTCCGACGCCGCTAGGCGCCTGAATACCCAAGGTGGGACTGGCGAAGGATGCCGGGTTGATGGCCGACATCCAGATTCTGGTCTTGTAGATCTTGAACAGATCCGTAACGAGCGAATTGAAGTTGATGTACGAATCAGCGAAGTAGTAGAATGTCAGCTTCTTCCAATCCCTGTGCGCAGTTAGTCTCACCTCTGTTCGTCAGGTTCGTCCAGACACTTACATTTGGAACTCGGCATCGAGAATCTCCATGTTCAGTCCATGCTCCTTGACCTTTTGCATGCAGACTCGCTTGGCCTTGGCCTCGTTGCCCTCCTTGTCCCGCAAGGCGTGGATCTCGTGACTCTGTGCCAGGCGCTTGATGAGCTTAGGCTTAAGCTCTCCAGCATTGGGTTCCTGCATATGACCATGCTGATTAGGCGGGCCCATTCCGCCAACAGCGCTGCCCTGGAGACCATTTGCGGCCGCCATAAGGCCAGCTCCTGTACCATCCTGGGCAGCAGCGGCATTCTGAGAATACATCATCAGCCACTTGTACTGCTCCTCTGCGTAATGCTCCTTGAGCTCCTTGGCAGTTTGCCAGTCGACATTGTCGCGGGCGACAGTGCCCAAGTCAGTTCCTCGATCAGCTTCGACGATGACGAGATCACCGGGCTTCACGGTCAAGCCGGTACCCTCCTGGATGTAGAAGACATCCGCTCTAGCGCACTTGAACAAGACAATGTGAAGCAGCTGGTTGTGGCGCGGCTGCGACATGGCATACACATTGCGATGGGGCGAAGGTGCACGGTTTCCATAAGGAGGGTGCAT